CTGCTTGAGCCACATCCCCAGCCCAATCTCCGCTCTTTATAAGTTACCCAGTCTCAAGTATTCTGTTACAGCAGAACAAAGCAGACTAACACAGTGGTTTTGCTCCGTCTCAACATATTATCTTTTCTTATTGAGGTTCAATCATTGTGCCTCCCTTAACACCCTAGCCCAGCTTCATATCTGTTTCACAAACCACACACCTAATATTAAGATAAGCTGTATCCTTAGGTCACACAAATCCAAGCCATTCAAGTTCTTGTTTTTTAATTTTTTTCTCTCCCACCCCCTTCAAGTCATGGCTTAAGTTTTGCTTTTCATGGGAGAGCAACATAGGTGACATCTATGTGACCCCAGACCCTTCAGGGAGCAGTGTGGGAACACTGTGCCATCTGAGCATAATGCTTCAAGGATGCACATAAAACTCTTCAGGTTAAAGTGCTGTACTGAGTCATTTAGCCTAAGTGYTCTCCACATAGTAATTGGGAAGGAAAACTTGAATAACACCTAGTAATAATGCCATAGTGTCAGATATCCTTAGTGCCTTACATGTATTAATTACTTTGGTCTCCTCAGCAACCCTATTAGTTAGGTGCTATGATTGATTATCTCTGTTTTAAAGATGAGACAAGGCACAGAATTTAAGTCATTAGATGTGCTTGGATTAACATGCTCTGAAGAAGTGTAAAAATTAGGCCAYTTCATCTCATGTTCCAAAAGTGGGAACTGATAATTTTATGCTGTGTTGAAGGGATAGGTACCGTTAGGTCAAAAGGAAGAGAGTTCTCTGTGTACTGGTGGGGGTCGGGTAGCAATTTGAAAGTCTCCCTAAAGCCTATGTATTCTACAGGGGTTGTTGATGTTAGGAATTTGCTGAATCAGTTTATTGAAGCAACATGATGTTAGTTCGCCCAAATCAGGATTCCATTAAAACCCTTATTTTCACTCTTATGGAGTCTGTTCTTATACCAAAACCAAACTAAAGAGGAGCCAGCCATTGGGAATTCTCCAAGTATGGGATGCATCCCTCAGGAACGAAGCTGTGTTCAGTGACTGTTTGTGGTGGCCTCCCCAGGTGTTCAGGGTGGTCTGCAGCAAAGCCAAGGAGGGTACCTCAAACTCCAGGCAATGACTAAAGGAACATTCTGAGGCCTCCAAGGGGAAAGGATCAGGTCCTGAATCCTTGCAGCTATGCCTTATCTTCTTAGATGCTGGTTTCCCCTTCCTACAAACACTCAAAAACTAAAGAGGTGTAACATTAAGGCATTACATATGTGTGCAGCTACTGAATTCAGCAGGCTGGACCAGACAGACCATAAAGACACTCTCGTTATATGCGATAGCATTTATTCTAGTAGTAATATGAAAGCCAAAAGAGAAAGAGAAGAAAATACATCACTATATTGGGGAAACACTAGCACCGAAGTCATACAGCTGGGGAGTTACAGGGCAGCTTTTCAGGATCCTGACGAGGACTTAAGTCCTATTCCCCATGGGCTTCTGAAATGCAAGTTAGAACAAAGAAAGCTCAAGGTGACCTAGTGATCCCCTCAAGGACACTTCATCGCCCCAAGGGCTGGGTACATCCCAGAAGGGAGTGAGAGCCTTGGCACAGGGGTGGTTCTGAGCCAAGCCAAGTCAGCATTCTTTAGATGTTCCATTAAGGATGTGTGGAGGTCACCGCAGGCACAGGAGCCAGGAAGGTCTTAATATTTTCCTTAGTCCTTTAAGTGGTAAGCACAGGATTTGGGTTTTGGCAGACACTCACCTCTTTGTTGTCCTAAGCGCTCATCACAATGAACTCTTCCCTGGAGCTTTTCATTTTAGGGTTGTTTTGTTTTGTTTTGTTTTGTTTTGTTTTACATTTCTTTGTTGAGGCTCTTCTTCCACTCTGGATTCCATGGGGTAAAAACCTACGCAAAAGTCCTTTAGCTCTCCTTTGACACAATATTTGTGCCCTTGCTCTTTCTCTCTCTCTGCTTCCTCTTTCCTTCCCTATTTCCTCTCTCCTTCTCTTCATGATTGCCTAAAAGAAAGCTCAAAATAATGCTCTTCTCACATTGTTGCCTCTACTTGGCACTACACAAATGAATTTTCAGTCTTGCTCCGAAATGGACACTTTAATTCCTTCCTCACTGTCCCCACTATTCACCTGTAATCACACTGTTGGCAAAAGCTTTGGCCACATCTCTCACATAGGTATCTCTTAAATAATTCTCTCTTCTGGACCCTCTCTCCCTAGCTCCAGGTATTCCATATTCCCCTCGTCAGCATCTCAAGGTCAATAATTGGTTCAGTGATGTCTCCTCAGACAGGTCGGGTCAAATATGAACTATTTACACCAAACCAGATATGGTTCATATTTCATTAAAAAAAAATCCACAACCACAGTCTCTTTTATGTTACAGAAGGCATCCATCCATAGCAGCATAGATCAGTGGATGTTTGCAAGTTTAGGATAATGCAGAAATGAAAATTAATCCATTCTGAGGCAGTCCCAGTACTGAATGCAAGGGCCTTAAACCACAATTATATACATGTGCTAGTCAGACTTTTGTGAGCAAACATCAAGCTCTGGATCTTAGCTTGCTAAAACCTAGCAGGAAAATTTGGAGACAGTTGAGAAAACAGCCACAAAAACAACTAAAGCACGACAAGAATAAATGCAGCTCTGTTATAAAGAGGTCATCTATATCAGGCTTTTACTAAGTACCATGAGGAATGTTAAAATGCAAAGCATGGGGAACAGCTGTTTGTGGTTGTTAATAAGAGACAGGAGAAAAGAAATGAGGACAGGTGGAGATCAAGCATTTAGGTTTGATATGGGGGAAAGTTGGGACAAAGAAAGGGGTTCACACTCACACTTGGCTGAGCAGGAGGCCATCCAGCAGGCAGCAAAAGTGGCTCCATCCATCCACACTCCCAGAGGAGCAGTCAGGCTTTGATAAATTTGTGAAAAGTTGTTTAACTTGAAGTTGCTGCAAGAAACTCACCATAGTTCTAAAAATGTGGTAAAAAGCAAAGTCCAAAAAAGACAAAGATGATGAAATCTGTACAGAAATTACAATAGTGCATGCAGTTGGTCGTAAAAGCTGAGCAATTTGAATTGTTGAAAAAAAATCAGGTGGTGTTCAAAATGGAGTCACAAAGACTTTGGACTAAATTGATGGCAGCTGTAATGAAGTTAAGGGAAACTAAAGGGAGTACTATAAAATGGAAATGACTCACAATCTGAAAATTAGATAATCAAATCCTCAGATTCCATGAGGTGAAATGTCATACTAATAACTCTGCATATCAAAGCTTTCACAAATTGCACAAGAACCTGGCCTTGGTCCATTATGTTGCTGGCACYTCATTAGAAGGGCCCTGTTGGTTCAAATGTTGCTCGGACAGAGCTGCACAAACTGCTGCAGTGTCATTTTGAAAAACTGCCATTTTCCTCTACTGCTCTAGCTCCTGTAATAATTTTGTGTGTGAGAATAATGGTAAGAGCCTAGCTTGTAGTCCCCACTATTGGGAAGACTGAGGCAGGAGGTTTGCTTGAGCCCAGTAGTTCAAGAATATCTGGGTAACATAATGAGACCCCATCCTAAAAAAAATCTAAAAGGAGTAATTCCAATTTCAATTGAATGGAATTATTTCTGTAAGATATTTACTTTCAAGTTGTAATATTTATTATCTTTTAAACATTGCAGCTTCCACCTTTACTAGATAATAAGGTCTGTATAGTATTTTTGGAAATGTGAAAAATATTATTGCAATTACCTTTTCAAATGTATATAAAATATACTCAAAAATTAGGTCGATATTCTAGAAACAAAGGATAATGTAATTTACATGGAATAATCTGTGCAAAATTTTTTTAAAATTAGTATAGTTTTTATTTCTATAGAATGGAAATTAGTGCATAAAAATAAAAGCAGAAAGAGAATATCTTTTTAATTTGCTGTGCAGTCGAAAATAACTCATTCAAGTCAGGCATAGTGGTGCATGTCTGTAATCCTAGTGAATCCAGAAGCTGAAACAGGAGGATTGTGAGTTTAAAGCCAGCCTCAGCAAATTAGCAAGACCCTGTCTCAAGAAGGGTTGGAGATGAAGCTCAGTGGCTAAATGTCCCAGGGTTCAATGGGAATTGAACAACAACAACAACAACAACAACAAAAATCTCATTCAATATATAGGAAACCACTATCATTTCTATGTTATTATTTGCTGGGTATGAAAGGGATATTGTTTTTTTCCTTTTGAAAAAAGACTATATGTTTTATTCTAGCCATCTGAGTTTAGGTTTAAATTGCTCTGGGAAGTTTGCATAATATTCTGATGACCATTGCTTAGATGCCATATTTCATATGAGAACTGTCTTTACATAATGAGAAAAACTATGGCAACCACTTCATTCATCAAAGAAATTATGTTTTGTTCACTTGCATTTTGCTTGCTTGCTGACATTGATTATTTATACTTGCAGAATGTTTTTCTTAAATGAAGATTTAAAAATCACTTTCAATGACCTTCTAATTTCTGGTCAATTCCCAGTAAGCTATGGAATATATGGTTTTCATTTAATAGTGTTTTGTGTCTCCATCTTTGATTGGTTTAGGTAAGTGGTGATGGTGATGGTGATGGTGATGGTGATGGTGATGGTGATGATGGCAGGGCATGTGTCAAAAATGACAACAGTCTGGGTGCAGTGGTGTTCACCTATAGACCCAGTTACTGAGGAGAGGCAAAGGCAGGAAAGTCAGTTGAGCCCATGAGTTTGAGATCAGCCTGTTCGACACTTACCATGTTGGGGCTGGGGGAATAACAACCAACACAAAATCTAAAGGTCAGAGGTACATTTGAATTCTTAAATACATTAATTTTATGAACACAAAACAAATATATATTTAATATGGGAAAAGAGAAAAGAATAATTAGCACTTAAACTATTTTATCAGTTGTTGTAGTAACTTAGATATTTGAGTTATTAAAAGATTGAAACTCTGTGGAGAAATGCAACAAAAGTCACAAAACTGCTTGGAGTCTGAAAGCTCTAGCTCCAGAGAAAGGTGTTTGGTGTACACCAGCATTRACTACCGTCTCCCATCTCCTCAGTTTCCCAAGTTTGTCAGACTAATTAGGTATCTATAATTTTCTAATGTAAGTCTCAAGACATGGAAATATGTCACTCCTCTATTTGGCAAAGGGTACCGTCTGCTATTTAGGAGTTTCCCTTAAATGCATGTGTGTGTGAATGCACTAAAAAAATACCCATCCACCCAACTTTACCAAAAGATTTCCACAGAAAAGAATATTAGTGTTCAAAACAGTGTGATAGTGGCAGAAAGGCAGATAGACCAATGGAATAGAATAAAGAACCCAGAAATAACCCTTGTATAGATGGGCTAATTAATTTTTGGCCAATGTGCCAAGACCATTGAATGGGGAAAGGACAGTCTTTTTGACAAATGGTGCTGGGAACACTACATATTCACACGCAAGTGGGTCTTGCTGTGGTTTGAATGTTTTTGCCTCCCCTGGCAAATTCATATGTTGAAACCTAACCACCAAGATGATGATATTAAGGACAGGGTATAGGGGGGTGGGAGGTGATCAGGTCATGAGGGCTCTGTCCTTGAACTCTTACAAAAGGGGCTTGAGGGAGCTTATTCTCCTTATCTGGCTTGTGAGGACACAGCAAGAAAGCACTATCTGTGAGGAATAGACCCCCATCACACCCCCAAATCTGCTAGCACCTTGATCTTGGATTTCTCAGCATCCAAAACTGTAAGCAATGAATTCCATTGTCTAGGTATTACCAGTTTATCCTGAAGATGTACTCATGGTTCAACATAAGCAAATCTATAATGCAGTACACCACATAAACAGAATGGTTGCACAATATTATGGAAAGTGTGTGTGTGCGTGTATGAGAGAGAGAGAGAGAGAGAGAGAGAGAGAGAGAGAGAGAGAGAGAGAGAGAGATACATACTAGAGATTAAATCCAGGGGTGCTCTACCACCAACCCACATGTCTACTCCTTTTTATTTTTTATTTTGAGACAGGGTCTCACTAAATTGTCCAGGCTAGTCTTGATCCTCTTGCTTTAGCCTCCAAAATCTCTGGGATTACAGATATGCACCACCATGTCTGGCTATTATGGACGTCTCTAACACCAATAAACTGTACAATGAAAAAGGTTGAGATGGTTAATTTTATGTTATCTATATTTTACCAGAAGTTTAAAAATGGACAGAAAAAGAGGGTATCAGGAGAGTTAGAATCAGAGAAGAGAGTCATGATGGAAGCAGAGCTTAGAGAGATGTGATTGGGAGGTGGAAAAAGGAGCCACAAGCCAGAATGTAGGCAGCCTGCAGATGCTGGAAAAGATACGGAAAAATATTGTCCTGAGAACCATCAGAAGAAACTAGCCTCCAGCTCCAGGAAGGACTGATTTGAGATTTCTGATCTTTAAAAGTGTAACAGAGGGGCTGAGTTGTGGCTCAGTGGTAGAGCACTCACCTAGCACGTTCGAGGCACTGGGTTCGATCTTCAGCACCACATAAAAATAAAAACAAATAAAAATAAAGATATTGTGTCCAACTACAACTAAAAAAAATTTTTTTAAAGTGTAACAGAATAAATTTGTGGGGAAGGGAGGAAATAATAGTATTGTTATTCAATTTATAACTAAATCAAATAATGGGAATGATTATATTCCTAATTTATACTTCTTGTTTTTTCTTGACTTAACTGTATTTTTATTTGCTTAAATTTCTGTGTAATTGTCACTAAATGTACACTTGAGTATTTTTTTTTCTTTTTGGGGGTACCGGGGATTGAACTCAGGGGCACTCGACTACTGAGCCATATCCCCAGCCCTATTTTATATTTTATTTAGAGACAGGGGTCTCACAGAGTTGCTTAGGGCCTCACTAGTTGTGAGGCTGACTTTGAACTTGTGATCCTGCTGCCTCAGGCTCCCAAACTGCTGGGATTACAGGCGTGTGCCACCACACCCAGCCTAAATGTACACTTGTACAGTTCCCATTGTGCACTTTGAACAAATGACCTCAACTTTTTGTGCCTCAGTCCCTCATTGGCAAAATAGAGATAAAAATAAGAGATTTTCATGGGCTCTTGTGAGGATTAAATGAGTTAATATATATCAGAGTTTGGATAGTGCCTGAATATAGTAAGTTACTCAGTAAGTGTTAGTTTGGATAGTGCCTGAATATAGTAAGTTACTCAGTAAGTGTTAGTTATTATTTCTACCCTCCCAGAGTACAGCCAAGAAACAAGGTGGGCACAGGTGCTACTGCCATGTGATCATAGGAAGAGGCTTAATGAGGCCTTATTAAGGTTTGCTTTTCAGTGTAAGACCAACTTACAGATGAGATGACTTTGCTGTGGAGGGGAGGTAGCCTAGCTCATCACAAGTGGCTTCATTCTTGACACAAAGTGGGCAACTCACTTTAATATGTTGCACAAATTATCTTCCTTCTCCTCTGTCATTGTGTGTCTGTCATCTGGTGGGTGCCCAGATTTTCATTCTGAAGACCCTGAGGTTTGGGCTTCTGCAGAGTCCATGGGTCTGAGCCAGTACAACAGCAATACTTATGTTAAGAAAAGAAAACAAATTTACTGCTTTTGGTGTTGATTTGTTTTCTTTTTCTAGGGCTTTGAGATGTGATGTTAGGTCATTTATTTACTAACTTTCTATTCTTTTAATGAATGAGCTCAATGCAATGAACTATCCTCTTAGCATTGCCTTCAGAGTGTCCCAGAGATTTTGATATTTTGTATCAGGGTTCTCATTTACCACTAAGTATTTTTTTATATCATCCCTATTTCTTCTGCTATCCATTCATCATTCAGTAGTGTATTATTTAATCTTTATGTGTTAGAATAGCTTCTATTTTTTTATTTTATCATTGATTTCTAGTCCRTTCCATTAAGATCTGATAGAATGCAAGGTATTATTACCTAGGTGCCCTTCACACAGAAGAATGAAATTAGGGCATTTGCAGGTAAATAGATGGAGCTGGAGAACATCGTGTTAAGCGAAATAAACCAATCCCCCAAACCAAAGGCCAAATGTCTTCTTTGATATGCAGATGCTGATCCAAAATGTGGGGAGGCTAGGGAAGAATGAACTTTCACTTTTTTCTATCATTTATAATCCCTACTATCCTACTAGTATTTGCAGCATCTGCCAGCATGTATAACTAATTAGAACAAATTAAAAAAAAAAAAAAGAAAGAAAGAAAAAGAAATCTAGAAGAGGGTAAAGTGGGAAGACCAGTGAAAGAAAGTATAAAGCAAATTAAAAACATAATGTCAGAAAAAATATTGGGGGAAGATTCATTATCTTTTGAATTTTGTTCCATGTGTATATATAATTAAATCAAAAATATATAATTTTTCAGAAACCAGAATTAAGTCTTCTCTATGAAAACTAAGAGATAAAAGTTGAGAGGTAATTGAATTTGAAACCTCCAGGTTGGGGGTGGAGCTCAGAGGTCAAGAGAATTTTTAGCATGTTGGGTTCAATTCCCAGCATCTCATCCAACCTAAAATGAGTAAAGCTTGACCCAGCAGAAGTTTAGGGGTCCTCTGTTATGTAGGCTCATCCACACATTCATTTTTCTTTTTTCTTAAACATAGCATCTTCGTCTTTAATTAAAATATTTACAGAGCTATTGTTAGTAGGTAGGATTTTTGTTATGCCACACACCTGTGTATTTCCTAGTTTCTCTTCTTGAAACAGATTTATTAAGTTCTATTAAATACTTAAGATGTGTAGCTAATGAAAAGTGGAGGTATTTCAATAGAAATTATTCTTAGGAGCTTAGAAATAGTTGTGCCTGGTAGTTTTACAATGTTGGAGTAGAGCATTGTGCAGTTTCCTGAACATACTCACATTATCAGTTGATCCTCTGCACAGAAGCCCCATGTGATTCTTGCTATTCTCAGCTTTGTCCATGAACTAAAATTAGAACTAGGCTGACATTACACTTCACTTGGTTACAGCCTGACGGTGGATTTTAGTCATTTGGAACCACACGGAAAAAAATTCACCCCATAATCTATTCTTCGATGATAATCACTAACTTTGGGCATGACAGCTTCAGTGTCCACCAATGATGGTAAGTATTTTTCCATTTTCCAAAAAACATTTCTTCTCCATTCTTTATTCTATCTCAATAGAGTGCTGATGATGACTTTGTGTCTATAATTGCCGCTTGGGATTGAATTTAAGTATTTTTTGGATCCATAATCACTTATACAATTGTCCTCCTCTGGAAGATAGATTCCACTACAAGCTGGAAGCATCTCTTCTAGGATGGTATTTCTTTTGACTTTGAGAAGCCGACCCTCCATCATGTCATTGCCATCCTTACCTTACTGCCATGCTGTTCTGTTCCAGGAATTACCAAGGTAGAGACCACTGTTTTGTGTTAGAGGCAGAAATGCAAGCATTATCACTGACTTGTTTTCCTTTAAGGGAAATTGGTCATTAGATGAAAATCAAATGACCAAAATTTAACAGCCAAAGAGGAAATGAATTAGCAAATGACTAAACAGTGATGTGTGTAGTAAAATTSCTATATACATGCAGATAGCTGGGATTTTAAAATATTTTTAATATTTAATATTATTTAAAGTATTTACCAAATACTTTAAAATGTGAGACAACAAATTATAGGTGATATGACCAGATAGTTGAATTACCAAAAAGATTTCTTTCTTTCTTTCTTTTTTTTTTTTTKKTTTTTTTTTTAGTTGTAATTGGACACAATACCTTTATTTTATTTATTTATTTTCATGTGRTGCTGAGGATCGAACCCAGCACCTGGCAGGTGCTAGGCAAGCACTCTCCTGCTGAGCCACAACCCAGCCCCACCAACAAGATTTCTTGATGACAAAATGTTCTTGCAGTCTGTTCCTTGTATTGCTTAGAAATGGGGACTTTCCTAATAATTTTCTGAATACTGTTAATTACATAGCAATCCTGGCTTTTTTCTTCTGTAATACAGTCCTTCTCTCTCTCTCTCTCTCTCTCTCTCTCTCACTTTATCTTTCTGTGTGTCTCTCTCACACACACACTGCATAATTTTAGTTTAAAAATATCCGTAATTTAGAGCCAGTTATGATGGTGCATGCCTGCAATGCCCACAACTCTGGAGGCTGAGGCAGGAGGATTGCAAGTTCAAGGCTAGCCTGGGCAAGTTAGTGAGACCCCGTCTCAAAATTTAAAAAAATAAAAAGAGATGGCAATGGAGCTCCGTGGTATAGCGCTCCTAGGTTCAATTCCTAGCACCATAAAAAAATCATTAATTTAGAAAAGATTAACAATGAAAAGCAACATTGTTTACCCCATTTCTCACTATTACCATCCTGCTCCCTAGAAGTAAACATTGTAACCATTTTGGGATTTAATTTTCAGGGATTATTTGCAAATTTCCTTTTTTGAAGTTAGATACATGCTATTTCTTATTGATTTCAGGCATTATCTATGGAAGCTTTATTATGAGATGATGATTAGGTTCCCTTATACCCCATAATGTGATGTTTTTAGTGTCTTTCTTGATTCCTTTTTCTTACTGTAAATTTTGTTTGTTTTGTTTTTTATGAGACAGGGTCTCACTATACTGTCCAGGCTGGCCCTGAACTCCTGGGTTCAAGCCACCCTCCTACCTCTGCCTCCTGGAAAGCCAGAACTACAAGCATGTGTGACCAAGATGGCTTTAAAATGTTTTCATATCAATGTAAAAGGAGACCAGAGTTTTACAAGCAGATTTTAGAACACTAATATTCATTTCTAAAATGACATCTTTTCTTTTTAGAAGCCTCAATGTGAATACCTGTAAATCTTACAGAACATATTTGTTCCATTTTAACATATCTATAGCTGACAAACATGTACTATAATTTTCAAATCAAAGGCCTCTAATGGAAACAGTCAAGTTAAAAATGAAGTGTTTTAATTTCATTTTTGGTCTTGAAATCCAGCAAGAGACTCCCTTTCCCCTCACAGCTTAGAAAAAAACACTTCCAATTCCTTTCTAGAGGACTGGTGGTGTTGACAGCTTTTAATTCTCTTTATCAGCATCTAGACATCCCTGGTTCAGTTTATGTATATTAACGTCACAGTTCCAGTTGCTGAAAATGCCTCATGATTTTCTTCACTTTATTACAATTTGGTATGGCACCTGTCACCAAGGCACAGTGTGGGAAAAGAGCCACCAGGAACACAATGGTCTGACTACAGAGTTAGCCATACACCCTGGGTCTGTCAACTCAGTGAGGATACTAAGGGAAATATAAAATTCTAGGAGGCATGCTTTTTTCCTCTTTATTTTTACTATTTTGAAAAAACACTGCTTAGAACATTCTTGTTCATGTTTCCTAGTGGTGACATACCCTTYCCCAGTAGGGATTGCCAATGAGTGGAACTGCTGGATTATAAACTGCATATTCTACTCCAGAGTGATTAAGAATGTATACGAATTTACATGACTCAAATTTCCAGTAGCATTTGGTGTAGTCAGTTTTTTTTTCTTTTTTAGTTATACTTAGACACAATACCTTTATTTTATTTATTTATTTCTATGTGGTGCTGAGAATCAAACCCAGCGCCTTTCATGAGCTAGGCAAGTGCTCTACTGCTGAACCACAACCCCAGCCCCAGTCTTTTTAAATTTGATTACTCTGATAGGTGTGTGTTGGTATTTTATTATGGTTTTAATTCACTTTCACAAGGTTGAACAGAATTTCATGGGTTTTTTGGGGGGTGTTTCTGCCATTTAGATTTCATCTTTTGAATTAACTGTTCAATTGTTGACTCCCCCCCCCTCCTTTTGATGCTGGAGATCAAATCCAGAGCCTTATTCATGTTAAACATGCACTCTACCACTGAGTTYTGYCCCCAGCCCTGTTGTCTTTTTAAGTTGATTTTTAGGAATTCTTTATCTATTGTAGATAGAGCTCATTTGTGGTGACATGTGCCACCAATATCTTCCCCACTACATGGTATTCCTTTTATTTTCTAAGTGACATCTTTTAATAAAGTTCATAATTAATATAGTCCGATCTATCAATCTGTTTCTTTAAGGATATTCTTTGTATTCCATTTTAGGAAGTGTTCCTTAGAGTGGGATGTAGAGCACTTGCCTAGCTTGTATGAGGCCTTAGGTTCAATCCCAGCACCTGGAAAAAAAAAAGTATTCCCTACTTTAAGGACATATATCTTATATTTTCTCCCCRAACCTTTATGTTTTGGGAGACTTGCACTATCACTTATAGAGCTATAATACATCTGGAATTAAATTTGGTTATATATATAGTTTAAACTGTCCAAAAAATCATTCTGGCAGTATTCTGCAATGCTCATTTATGTATGGGATCTGTTTCTTGGGTTTCTTATTCAATTACATTGATCTGTTAGTGCACTGAACCAATACAACACTCTCTACTACTAAAGCTTTAAAAGAGGTCTTGATAGAATAAATCCTCCCACTCCAGTTTTCTTTGTCATGAGTATTTTGGCTATTTTGTACGTTTAGAATTGTTATTAATATTAAAATATGAGAGTCAAGGTAGCCATCTTGGTTTCCAGATGGGTTGTTTTGAGACTGTTTATAGCTCAATTTGGAAATATCTGATGTTCTTACAATATTGAATCATAAATATGATGTAGAACTCTTATTTAGGTCTTCTTTAATTTCATTATATTTTTTAGTTTACTGTGTAGAGGTTGTACCCAGTCTGTTTATTCTTGAGAACTTGGTTTTTTGCACTATATAAAATGGTATCTTTAAAAAGTTAATATCTGCTTTGCAGCTGGGCTCAATGGCCCACATCTATAGTACCAGCATTCAGGAGGCTAAGATAGAAGGATTTCTTGAGTCCAGAATTTTAAGGCCAGCTTGGGCAACACAGCAAGATCCTGTTAAAAAACAAAAAGGAATATGGACTAGTATACTAGTTTTGGGAACTAGAAAGTGTCCAGTAAATATTAGGTATTATGATTATTACATTTTTTCCCCAGTACTGGGGATTGAACCCAGAGTCTCATGCATGCTATCTACCACTAAACCACGTCACCAGCCCTTTTTATTTTATTTTGAGACACGGCCTCACTTAGTTTCCCAAGCTGGTCTCAAATTTGCAATCCTTCTGCCTCAGCCTCCAGAGGAATTGGAATTACAGATTTGAGCCACCACACTCACATCAATGAACATTTGAAACACATTGCTTTTTTTTTTTTTTTGTGATTCAATTAGGTCCTTTCTGAGGTGGCATCTGTGATTCAGCAGTTCAGAACTTAATGAAGCTGATGACTCTATGACAATGTGGAGAAATCATGACAGAAAATGTGGTTTGTACTGGGGCTGTTAATGCTGTAAAAGAAGTGTGGGAAAAACGAATAAAGAAACACAATGAAGATCTGAAACGAGAGAAGGAATTTCAACAAAAGTACTTACTATATTTACTATTTTGGATTAGTGAAAATTCATAATCTCATCATAAAAATCACTTATGAAGTGCCTCATTATTGAATTTTATAGAGATTTTTATTTACAGAATGTTCAAAATATACTTAAATACCTGACTCAATTAAATTCTGCCTATGTAACGAGAGTTACAAAAATAATATCTGTGTGTGAGAATAGTAGTTATACTGTGCCCTCATAGGACTTAGCATTCATTAAGGTTTGATTAGTATCACTTGGTCTAATTATCAGGCTTGTTTTGTGCAGCATTAATCTTTTAGGATCTAAAAAAAAAAAACACATCTGGCAGTAGAAGGTACTACTTATTCCCACCTACTTGAGTGGCTGTGAGTTCCAGCAGGATCATCTAATTCCTTGATTGGGGCTATCTTTAAATAGTATGGCTCTCATTTCCTCTGCCTCCTTGATATCTTACCTACTTTTCTAATTGGTTGTCTTGAAAATCCTCTGCTAATCTTTCAGAAATAGCCCATTTCCTCATAGTAAATAATATAAAAATGATGTAATTGAATAGCTAGCRTTACGCAATTTGTCTCAACTTGCCACACCTATCTTCCTATGAGCTATTCAGAACCTTCATTAAGTTCTGAATAGCTCATAGGAAGATGAGCTATTCAGATTAGAAGGCCACGGGAACCCCATTATCACAATGCACTTGTTAACTAATTAGAAATTTCATGCAACCGAGAGATTAGAACAAACAGACTTTATTAGAAGTATTTTGCAAACCTAAACACATAAAGACAGCAAACATTATACTTGCAGGGTTTTTGTTTTGTTTTCTATTCTTTAAAACCCTCACKGAAAATAAGATAACACACAAAACTTCAAAAATTCTCAGATGTCAAGATATTTTTGGCAAATAAATATACAAATTAATTAAACCTTATTTTCTGATGAATGCTTTTTAAAAATTATGTACTTTTTAATAGGCTAAATTTGATTCTAAACTTTATTCTAAATTTGATTCCTTTGCTTTTTCATATGTGAAAAAATTTCTAGGGGCTGGGGTTATGACTCAGTGGTAGAGTGCTCCCTTAGCATGCATAAGGCACTGGGTTCAATCCTCAGCACACATAAATATAAAATGAAGATATTGTGTCCACCTGTAACTAAAAAATAAATATTAAAAAAATTTCTAAGATACAAATAGAAAATTTTTTGCATCTTTTTGCTATCTTTATAGTCAGCATAGTATATGCACATTATTCTTATATATGTTCTCAATGGATAAACTATATTTGGTATAGTGCTTGCCTTGAATGTGTGAGGCCTGGGTTGRATCCCCTGTACGGTGACAAACAAAACATTAACTATCTAAGGATTAGTCAGSAGGAAAAAGCACATCAAACCCACAATGTGATACCATTCACAACCACTAGATGGATATAAAAAAAAGTGGGCAATAACAAGTATTGGTGAGGGTGTGGGGAGATTAGAACTCTGATACACAGATGGTGGCGGGTATAAAATGGTATAGCCAATTTGGAATTTAGTTTCAGTTTGGCATTTCCTAAAAAGACTAAACATAAAGTTACCATGTGACCCAGAAATTATGCTCCTAAAGATATACCCAAGAGAAATAAAAACATATAATCTGTCAAAGGAAAAAATTACAACAATTTAAAGATCTTAATTGGCTTTCTTTTTAATTCTAGAATTAGGCAACACTTCCATGAAATAGAATACTGTGTTCTGAGGGATTGAACAGAAGAAATTACTTTTATAGACAGAAAAGGACTGAAAAAAGCAAAAACAAAGTTACTTTCAAACTTTGTTTCTAAGTTGTTTTCTCTGTAAGACAGGAAAAGGAAGATAGAACAATAGAAAATTAATTGGCTAACATTGGATTACTTCAAGTTACCTTCTTTGTACAAGGAGGAAGGCAGAGAGAACTTCACTGCCATTCTAGGAAACTGAATGGAAAGTTGGCTGTTAACTTTCTCCTCTGATTTCTTGGCATGGTCAAATAACAATTTAGTTTCTGTTTTGTGAATTGGAACCTTAGCATGGGTGACTTTATTTTGATTTTTATTCTGTTTTTTTTTTTTTGAGCTTAATCCAAAATAATGGCCTCATATCTGGGCATGATGACTGTAATTCTAGCTAATTAGGAAGCTGAGGCAGGAGAATTGCAAGTTCAAGGTCAGCCTCTGCAACCTAACAAGACCCATTATAACAAATAAAATAACAAAGACTGGGGATATAGCTTAGTGGTAGAGCATCCCTGGATTCATTTCCCAATATAATAATAATAGCATAATAACCTCCCCAAAATTTTAATAGTTCACACAAAAATTTATACCCATACATTTGTAGTAACATTATTCATAAAAGCCAAATAATAGAATTATCCAAATACTAATCAACTGTTGAATGAACAAACATGATAAACTCATCTGATGAAATCATTCTGCCATAAAAAGAAATGAAGTACTGATACATGTTACAGCATGAATGAGCTTTGAATAAAAAATATACTAAGTGAAAGATGCCAACACAGACACACATTGTATGATCCTATTTATATGAAATGTGCAGAATAGGCTATTAGTAATTCCCAGGGAATAGGGAAGGGGTATGGATAAGGAGATTTTTTTGTTTAATGGTAAAGTATTTTGGATTTAGATAATGGTGATGGTTGTATAATGTTGTGAATATACTAAAACCTACTGAACTGTATACTTTAAATGATGCATTTTATGCTATGTGAATTATATCTCAGTAAAACTATGATAAATAAAATTTATGAAGAATTATGGTCCTTATCAAAAACTTAGCACTGGAAGTATATCTCAGAGGTAGGGCATGCATTTACAATACAAAAAATTCTTGGCTCAATCTCTAACACCAAAACAACAACAACAACAAAAATAGTTCTACTGAACCTAAGTTCATCTACTCACCACTCAAAAGCCAATACTTGAGAGATGAGGAGGTGGGGTGAAAAAAATCAGGTTTATTCAAGAGCCAACAAAATGGAAGATGGAGAGGGCTATCAGCCCCCATCCTCCTCATCAAAGACCATCTTAGGGAACTATTGTATGCAAAAAGACCTTTGTAGAGAGGGAAAGGATGTTCAGGGGGCAGTGGGTAGGTACTTGCTGGGCTGGGTCTTGGTCATCAAGGGCAAGTGTCTCCTTTCTCCCCAACCCCAACTAGAACACTGCAATTGACCTTGGCTTCCTAAGGCTAGTTCCTATAATTTTTTAAAAAATATCTATTTTATTAGCTGTTGATGGAATTTTATTTGTTTGTTTGTTTATTTATATGTGGTGCTGAGATTCAAACCCAGAGGCTCACACATGCTGGGCAAACGTTCTACCACTAAGCCCCAGCCCCAGCCCTAGTTCCTATAATTATTTAGATAAACATAACTTTTCTGCAAGTTAAATTTTATAAAAATTGATGTTTTATGTTAGTTGATGCACAGGACTTAAGAATGGGCTACTATACATTCTAATGTTATCTCAAGGTCACCAGATAATCTGGGTTCTGAAAATCTAAAAAGAAAGATAATAATTTAGATGCTTTTTTTTAAAATTTAGAATTCAAGGCAAGTGGAGAGGAAGTATCTCTACAAAGGACAACTTCTAAAGGATCAGCCACCGTTAAAATAAGGCATTTGTATAACTTTTGCTAAATAAAATCTCATCCTGTTTCCAGATACCATTGAACCAATGTTTTTTTATTTTGGTTTATTTGGGTATTAARGATTGAACCCAGGGGTGCTTTACCACTAAGCTAYATCCCCATCCATTATTTTTTGAGATAGGGTCTTGCTAAATTGTCCAGGCTGTCCTCCAATTTCTGATTCTCCTGACTCAGTCTCTGGAGTAGCTGGGATTACAGGATTACTGCACCTACCTTCCCAATTTGTTTTTGATGGGCTATTTTATTTTATTTATATGAAAATGAACACTACCTTTGTCATTATCTATAAGTCAAAATGATTACCTGATTTCCTAGGCTAGTGCGGATCTGGGAAGAGAGAGTAAGTTTAACTAAACTCAAAGAAAAGGTCACCAGGGAAGATGGAAGGGTCATTTTGAAGATAGAAAAAGAAGAATGGAAGGTAAGCTTTATAGAAGTAATATTTTATTTTACTACTTTTTGCATTTTGTGGAAGAGTTGAAAATGAATCTGAGTCTGTGTAATTAATACAGGAATAATCGAAAATTCCTCCTCTTCCTCCTCCTCCTCCTCCTCCTCTTTCCTTCTTCTCTCTCTCCTTCTTCTTCTCCTTCTCCTTCTCCTTCTCCTTCTCCTTCTCCTTCTCCTTCTTACTAGAGATTGAACCCAGGGCCTTGTGCATGCTAGGCAAGCACTCTACCAACTGAGCGATATCCCCAGCCCACAATTCTAATATTAATAATACACCAAATAAATCTGGACAACATAAACAATAGAAAACAAACATCACATTTTTTTTCCAAAAAATCGATTTGCTTTAATCTTGCCTAAATTTAAGTCACATGTGATATTTCTTCTTCTAATACTAATAGGCAGTTTCTCATTTGCCATGAATGGATGACTATCTACCTAATGAAAATTATGTAGCTTTTCCCCAAAAAAATGCTCAGTTAAAACTTCTCAAAGTGKAAATGAATATCAATTTATCTGTTAGGTGTATCTTCCAGTTCTTATGCTTTTTTCCCTCCCTTGCACGTATGTGCATACAGATATACAGTGGATTCATTATGTTAGATATACTTTAATTTTTTCAAGGGCTTCTAACCCATCAGTGTTTGTTTTTATTGTCATTATTGTTATATATCTCCATGAAAACAAATGCTTACTGAAGGGATATAAGCCCTTGTAAAAATGATATATATTTTAATATTTTCTTAGTTGTTGAGAGACCTTTATTTTATTTATTCATTTATATGTGGTGCTGAGGATTGAACCCAGTGACTCACACATGCCAGACAATTGTGCTACTGCTGAGCAACAGTCCCAGCCCCAATATAGGTATATTTAACTAAGTGGTTAGCTCCTTTGTTTTCTTTTCTATTTTACACTGAAAGAGAACAGGCATAAAATTCAGAATAGTTCAAACTCTTATAATTCCTCACTTAAAAAAATTCTATAAAAATTTTTATGAAATACTTCAAAATAGAAGTAAAAGGGACATTTAAATTATGAACAAAGATGTTTTCCGGATAGTCTCATTTTCAATAGCATATGTAGTCTAGGAAAGCCAGATATAACATGATCTTTAAGATAGACTTCAATGTATGTGCATAACTGACCAAAATGTGTTATTTTTGTTTATTGCATTTAATTGAGGTTGGAAGTTTTAGTTAAAAAAATAAAAAGCATAAAGATCTTAAAACTCAGTAACACAAAGTACTTGGAAATATAACCCATTAAGAGAAAGAAACATTTCTAAATGTTTTCACAAATTAAATAAAATCACACTTCAGGATGGTATAATACTAAAATAGTTTAAGTAATATGTCTCCATTATTTCTTTTACTTCAGAGTCTCCCTTCTTCTTTACTGAAGCTGAATCAGCTACAGGAATGGCAAATTCATAGAACTGGTTTGTTGAAAATTCCAGAATTCATTGGAAGATTCCAGAACCTTATTGTGTTAGATTTATCTCGAAACATAATTTCAGAAATACCTCGAGGAATTGGTAAAGATTACTTTTATTCCTGTGCTATTTTATCTTCTTGAAGATGTGCTTATTTTATTGAGTTTTTGATAACATGGAATAAATATATCTTTATATATCTGAATTATAAGAAAAGTTTTAAACATTTAGCCTAAATTGAAGCTTCTAGGGGATCCAAGCTACTGGATTTACTGAGGTGATTCAAGATGAGATTTCAATGTGAGCAAAATATCTTTAAAAATATTGTTCTATAGATTTTGAAAACAATATTACTGGTTTAGCTATTCCTCAGACAGGTTGGAAGCAATAAAGAAAAACAGATTTGTCAAATAGAGAACAAAATTCTCACATGGAAAATTGCTTAGGGTGTAGTTTCTTTGTTTTACTGTCATTATTGTTTGCAGTGTTGGGGATACAACCCAGGCCCTTGTGCATGCTAGGCAAGCCCCTTACCATTGAGCTACACTCCAGCCCAGGACGTACATAAAACAGAATGAAAATAAATTTTTGTTTTGTTTTTTCCCCATGGCACTGATAAATCTATCCATTGTTTAAAGAAGAGGCAGGATGCAGACTGGGAACAGGGAAGAATATAAGAACTCTGAATTTGCCAATACACAAATAATTTCTGCTGTAATTACTCAGGAAAACAGTACTTTATGTCCATCTTCTTTCTATTGTGTATTGTTTTTTTTTTTTTTTTTTTTTTTTTGTAGGACTGCTCACTAGACTTCAGGAACTGATTCTGAGCTACAACAAAATCAAGACTGTCCCCAAGGAATTAAGTAATTGTGCCAGCTTGGAGAAACTAGAACTGGCTGTTAACAGAGATATATGTGATCTTCCTCAAGAGGTCAGAAAGCTCTAAATGCCTAAGATGTTATTTTTCCTCTGCTGGAACTTTGCTTTTCAATTATGTGATTGTTAAAAATGAAACTAAAAAGAAAATGCTACAAATTTTATTTCAGAAAAATATTTAGTGAAGATTATTTCCCATTATTATAAAGCAGGTTTTTAATAAGAGAAAAATCTATTTAGCATAACTTCTATTATTGTCACAGTGATACTGAAAGCTTGGTCCTTGTCCCTGAAGCTAATCCAATAACAAGGACAAGATTTTTGAGAAAAAAGAAAAAGGTTTTATTGATTTGCTGGCAAATGATAAAATATAGTGGACACACATCTTAGAGACTGTGATTCTAACTGCCAGAGGGAAAAAGAATAGATATAATTAGTTGTTCAACTTATATTCTTTGAGAAAGCTGTTTTTCCAGGTTCCAGACTGGYATTTCTTTATTGTTGGGGGAATGAAGCAGAAAGATTGATAGCAGTGACTTAGGACAGGAATAATGTCACTCTTGCTTCCCCAGGGTTAGGGAAGAAAGAGGGAGAAAAGGGAGGGGAAAATATATTAGTTTAAAAAGAAGCCACTAGTGCTCAAGCAACAAGGTTTATATTTAAAGCATAGGGTGGAATCATGTATGACAGTTCTGAGGTTGTTTTTTGACTAGACTGTCATCTCCTTGAAGGCCAGAATAAGAGTTTTATTTATTTAAATTCCTAGAATTGGGTTGGGGTTGTGGCTCAGAGGTAGAGTACTTGCTAAGCATGTGTGAGGCACTGGGTTTGATCCTTAGCATCACATAAAAATAAAATATTGTGTCCACCTGTAACTAAAAAATAGATATTAAAAAAATAAATTCCTAGAATTGAGGGCAATCCTAGGTTATTGTGGTTACTTAATAAATGCTTTTTAGAATGAATGATTATTATAAAGCACAGAAAATGTGGTGATAGAAAAACTTTTTACTAGTTGGTTTTTKCGACAGAGGTGAAGTGTAAGGCATGAATTCTAGGAAATCTATTTCTTGCTAGCTTCCTAGGCTCTTCAAACTTTGATTTGGCATGATGTCATTGCTTAAACCAAATTGATCATATAAATATAAAGACATTTGCATTGCTTTCTATATATTAATGCTCTTAGAATCAGCCATGGAAATGTCCAATGTCTTGAAAACAATCATGACTTTATAAAATAATAGCTAAGAAAAATAATGAAGCCCAAACTAAAAATCTATTCCCTTTTCCTATTTATCTTGAGAGCATATCAGACTTTTTCCACAAGAGTGAACATGTAGCCAATAATAACTTCTCTTGCAAGTAAAACATAGTATATATGTTTCATAATATAATAGTTGCATTTAATGAAACATATGCCCTTCCATATGGTGAAAATTATCACATGGAAAATTTCTTTACACACACAGAAAGATCAGTAAATCTTTTTTTCTAATCCTTGTGACTTTGTTTCTAGGATTGGCTGTCACTAACAAGCTATGTGAATTTATGCATGTCTATAAACCAGTTTATCTTAGTTTCTTCCCTTTAGGAGACTGGTTACATAGGAATAAAAATATTGAGCTGGGATTGTTCCATTCCAAAGTGTGGCCTTTAAGTAACTCTGTGTCCTTGGATACACTTTACACTTTAGATCTCAGTTTTCACATATGCAAAATTAGAATTGTCATATTATCATTACTTTATTATCTTTTCAATCATCTAAAGTCAACACTTTATTACTACTGAAAAATCAGCAATTGGAGACTCATCTGTCCTACTTTTTTAATACTTATTTTTTAGTTGTAGTTGGACACAATACCTTTACTTTTATTTATTTTTATGTGGTGCTGAAGATCAAACCCAGGGCCTTGCACATGTTAGGCGAGCGCTCTACCACTGAGCCACAATCCCAGCCCTGTCCTATGATTTACACACTGTTTACATATAAATATGTAAATGATAATGTTTTTTTTTTAAAGAGAGAGAGAGAGAGAGAGAGAGAGAGAGAGGGAGGGAGGAGAGAAAGAATTTTTTTTTAATATTTATTCTTTAGTTCTCGGCAGACACAACGTCTTTGTTTGTATGTGGTGCTGAGGATCTAACCCAGGCTGCACGCATGCCAGGCGAGTGCACTACCGCTTGAGCCACATCCCCAGCCCTGTAAATGATAATGTTAAAACAATCTTTTTATATGCTATTTGAACCATTTGGAAATTTATGAAATGTGATGACAGATTTTGAAAATGTTTATTTGGGACTTGAATTCTAAATCTGGAGAAACATCATCACCTACTAGACAGAACCTCCTGGGTTTTTGTACAATTTACAAAACATTGTATTTGTGTACTTTTTGTTGTGGTACAGATATTGCAGAAGAAATGAACATGCCTCAAGAGAACATAAAACATAGCCACTTCCCACAAATGGATAATATTTTTCTAAAAGTCAATGAAATTCTTGCATATTGAAACTTCCACTAGAATGTAAAAAGAGGAAGAAATTGTGTGGTTTTTAAATCCATAAAATCTTGAGTTCTCTTCGTAGATCTATCACTCCTAGTTATATGACCTGTTTGAGACATTTGATTCACAATGAAGCCCAAACTAAATGGACATTCACATCGTTTGGTTGATGTCAGAATTAGTCACTTGTTGCTGGGGGTGTAATCCTAGGACCTCAGGAGGCTGAGGCAGGAGGCATGAGTTCAAAGCTAGCCTCAGCAATTTAGTGAGGTTCTAAGGAACTCAGCGAGTCCCCTTCTCTAAATAAAATATTAAAAAGGGCTGAGTGTGGGCCGGGGTTGTGGCTCAGCAGTAGAGTGCTCACCTAGCACATGCATGGCCTTGGGTTCAATCCTCAGCACCACATAAAAATAAATAAATAAAGGTACTTTGTCCAACTACAACTAAAAAATAAATATTTATTTTAAAAAAAGGAGCTGGGCATTTTTACCCTATATACATGTATGATTACACTAGTGGAGTGACTCTGAACCATGTACAACCAGAGGAATGAGAAGTTCTGTTCCATTTGTGTACTATATGTCAAAATGCATTCTACTGTAAAATAAATTGGAAAAAAAAAAGGGCTCAGTAGTTAAGTGCCTCTGGGTACAGTGGTAGGCTTGGTGTCATGGCACATGCCTGTAATCCAATTTGATATTTGACATAAATATATAAATATATAAGTCATTAGACACAAACTTTCAACAAAGAAAACTGATGTTTTGAAGATTAAGTTTCCCCATATAATTCTCAACTACTGAATGAAATGAAAACATGATACTAAATAGTTACTCTCACAGTGGGGAAAAAACTTTTACCACACAGTCCCTGTTAACTCTGGAACTAGATTATTGTGGAAGATAAATTTTCTTTGAGTAGATGCAATTTCTTTCTTCTTTTCTCCTTTATTTGGACCTGGGGATTGAACCCAGAGCCTTGAACATGCCCAGAACACACTCTACCACTGTGTGGAATTATATCCCTAGTCCCAAATAGGTACAATTTCTTTGAGAGTTTTTCATATCACTGGAGTTTGTTTATTCAGCTTTATTTTTATTTTTAGTTTGTTCTGGCCTACTGTGCTTAAATTTTTTAAAGCCCAAGTGCAATACAAATGTTCATTGACATGATGTATCTCCTTTACCAATGTGAGTCTTCTAGGAATTTACATTGTAGACATTTATTTTGAAAAACCTTGCTTTCCTCTTCAGCTCAGCAGTCTGTTAAAACTAACTCACCTTGATTTGAGTATGAACCAATTTACTACAATCCCTCCTGCTGTGTTGAACATGCCTGCCCTTGAGTGGCTGGACATGGGAAGCAACAGACTTGAACAACTTCCTGATGCCATAGAAAGGTAAAATGAGTAACTTTTTATGCTACTGACAAATGCCTTAAAACCATCTGTGAAAAATAGGAACTAACAAGACAAAGGAGATGCCAAGTATAATCAACCAGAACAGATCCATTTAGTTTGAAATATGCTGTCTTTAAACAGAATTATTTCATTGATTCTAAATAAGTGAAAGGAATTTGGGATGGAAAATCTGGCTATCTGACTTCAAGACATTAACAGAATATACCACAGTGAGAACAACATTGCTTAGTGAATGCAAGGTATTGTGTGCTTTACGAAAGAATGGGAAAACCAAGCACAGAGATGTTAGCAAACTAGCCTAAAGTTAGTTAGTAATCATCTAATTTGTTAGGATTTGAACCCAGGCATGCTGGCCCATTCCATGCTGTTAACCATTATGCATTAATGCCTTCTTCTGAACAAGCATGTTAATATTTTCTGATTTTTCTCTTAAGAGTCCAATAACAGTAGAAACTAAGAAAAATGAAGAAAACTAAAATATTTTTATTTCATTTTTACTACCATATGATATGAGAGCTATATGGTAGAGATTAATTCCACATGTAGTTTCTCTAATAATCAGGTAATCTAAAGTCATTAATCTAAGTAGCTGGGTGTGGTGGCACATGACTATAACCAGAGACTATGGAGACTGAGGCAGGAGAACACAAGTTCAAGGTTAGCCTCAGCAACTTAGCAAGACCCTGTCTCAAAATAAAAAGGAGTTGGGATATAGTTTAGTAGTAAAAGGGCCCCTGGGTTCAATTGCAAGCATTAAAAAACAAAACAAAACAAAAAAGAAAAAGAAAAAGAAAAAAGTATGTTGGCTAAAAGACATATTATAGGAACCAGGTGTGGTGGTGCATGCCTGTAATCCCAGCAGCTCCGGAGGCTGAGAAAGGATTGGGAATTCAAAGCTAGCCTCAGCAACAGCAAGGCACTAAGCAACTCAGTGAGACCCACCCCGTCTCTAAATAAAATACAAAATGGGGCTGAATATGTGGCCAAATGTCCCTGAGTTCAATCCCTGGTACTGCCTGCCCCCCCCCCCAAAAAAAAAGACATATTACAGGGCTGAGGTTGTGGCTCAGTGGTAGCGCTCTTGCCTAGTATGTGTGAGGCACTGGGTTCGATCCTCAGTACCACATATAAACAAATTAATTAATTAATTAATTAAATAAAATAAAACAAAGGTTAAAAAAACAACAACAAAAAAAGACATATTACAAAAGAGGACATTTGATTTTTAAGGTAATAAGAACCTAGTTTTTCATATTATATATGACTAATCACAGAAATTTCTTTTTTATTTCTTCAGAATGAAAAGTCTGCATACATTTTGGCTACAACGGAATCAAATAACATGCTTGCCAGAAACAATCAGCAATATGAAAAACCTGGGCACCATTGTTCTMAGCAACAATAAACTGCAAGATATTCCACTATGCATGGGAGAAATGGAAAATCTGAGGTAAAAATTGTAAGATACAAAATGACATGTTCATTTCTGGCCACAGAACAAAGTAACATAAGTTGTTAATATTAATAAATTGGATCCTTACTTGTAAGAATGGATATATTTTAAAAAATCTTTGTCAATGTTAAAATTCTGTAATTTGATGCTTTGGATTCATATAATACTGGAATAAATTATTCAAGAAAGATACTTGAAACTACTGAGATTGATCATTTTTAAGAAATATCTTGTTGGTGGCATTTTCACAAAAATTATCTTCATACTGCTAGCAATTCTCATCAGCAACATAAAAACTAAAAGTTTTCACCAATAAAATAGTGATTATTTTCCTCTTAATTACAAATGGACAGAAAACTCTTACCAATAAAATACAGATATAATTTTTATTAGTTATTATCAGGACTCCATGAAAACAGATATAATTTTTATTAGTTTTATCAGAACTCCATCATGATTTTTTTCAAAATTTAATTTTCTGACAAAATAATAGATATTAAATCCAAAAACTGGTACAAATCATCCTTCATTCATTCACTTATTCAGCAACTATAAGCCTTGTGCTAGATGGTAAAAACACATTTATAGATCTATATAAAACAGATCTATAAAATAGGCAGAAACTAAATTCATAGCATTATTTATTTAAGATGCATTAAAAGTGCTCTTTAAAGTTAAACTGTATCACATTAAATATATGCTATGAAATAATACTTCTTTTACTAAGCTTAGAAAATAAGTTGTCTAAAGCTAATTTTCTTCTAGGAAGGAAACTTAAAAGATTCTTGGGATATATCACATTTCACCAAGATGTTCAGTTATTGAAATCAGTTAAAAAAAAGAGTAATTTAGTATATTGTCATTTGATCTTTCTCCAGGAAAATAAATGTACACTTCCATGGCATCTATAAAAATATTGTTTTTTGGTGAACTGCTAGGTTTGTCAACTTCAGAGACAACCCACTGAAACTGGAAGTAACACTTCCTCCCAGTGAAAGCGTAGATGAAGAGGAGGAACGGGAATTATTTGGCCTTCAATTTATGCACACATACATACAGGAATCACGGAGAAAAGCAGGTAGGAGATTTGTATATAACATAGATCAAGATTCTTTTTGGTAAGGAATGTGTATATAATTTGCTCCTAACTTTCTGAGTTCTTTTATGGATTTCTCATTTCATCTTGCCTTTTCTACCAAATTCTGGTCTTTTGGCCAATATTGTAAGAGGAAAAGAAAGTAAGATTCCACTCTGTTTATAGTTCTGATAAGGATTAGGAGAAAAGTTGTAAAAATATTAAAAAAGCTGGGCATGGTGGCGCACACATGTAATCCCAGTGGCTCKGGAAGCTGAGACAGAAGGATCACAAGTTCAAAGCCAGCCTTAGCAAAAGCGAGTGCTAAGCAACTCAGTGAGACCCTGTCTCTAAATACAAAATAGGGCTGGGGATGGGGCTCAGCGGTTGAGTGTCTCTGAGTTCAATCCCTGGTACCCCTCCCCACCAAAAAATTCAAAATATTTCAAATGGAGTCAGTAAATAAATTCTTTGGCCAAGTACCTGAAGCACAAACAAGTGAATGAAGACACTATCTTTAGGGCTTTACTACCTTTTTCTACCAGCTTGCCATATCTGTCATTTTGAACATCTGCATTTCTTTTTCTAGAATCCACAAATAGCAAAATACTATTTTACTGATAGTGAAAAATATTAAAAGAACAGATTTTGACAGAATGAATGTGAGGTTTTGATATACAATTGATCAGGTCTCTTATAATTTAGAATGAAACATTTTTTTAAATTATGAAAGCCTTTATATTAAGTCAAGATTAGGGGAATAGGGCAAAGAGCTCAATTCTCTGTTAATAAAAGCAATGAATCAGGTGTGGTGGCATACAACTGAAATCCCAGTAACTCAGGAGGCTGAGGCAGGACAATTAAATTCAAGGCCAGCCTCAGTAATTTAGTAAGACCCTGTTTCAAAATAAAAACATAAAAAAGGACAGGGATGGAGATCAGTGGTAAAGCATCCCTGGATTCAATTCCCATAAAAATTAATCAAATGATAGCATAGTAATAGAAATCATACTGGGCCCAGTTGCATAGGGAAGCTCCTCAGGAGGCTGAAGCATGGTTCCAAGTTTAATACCAGCCTAGGCAATTTAGCAAGGCACTGTTGTGTTGTACATACTGCTATTTAAAATTTAAAAAGAGCTGTGAATGTGGTTCAGTGTAAGAATACATGCCTAGCATACCTGAAGCCCTGGGTCCAATCCCCAGTACTGGGGGAGGAAAAAAAGAAATAAATAAATCATGGCTTTATAATATACTAAAATGTCAAGTTTGAAGACTTTTTAACTCAATAGATTTTAGTTCAACTCAATGGAATGTTGAAGTAGTCATTAGAAACAGGGCATGGTGGTTTTCTTCCTGTAATCCAGTGACTGGGGAAGCTGAGGCAGAAGGATCTTAAATTTAAAGCCAGCCTCAGCAATTTAGTGAGCCCCTGTCTCAAAATAAAAAAAAAATAAAAAGGGCTGGRTATGTAGCTCAGTGGTAGAGCACCCCTGGGTCCAATCCCCAGTACCAGAAGGGTGGGAGTGGAGAGTTAGTGTTTAGGTCTCCTGTAGCAAGGCCACAGAAGCAATAGCATGGATACAGGCTGGGAGGTAAACAAAAAAGTTCTAATACTGTGGGGTCTAGTTTTAGAAAGGATAAATTAAAGACAAGTAGGAAACTGAACTGCATCAGTATGATAATTTTTGGATATGTATGTATGTCTTATGAAACATAGGAAACATAACAGATTATATTAGTTGTTGAATATCTTTTATTTGTGGGCATAAATTGTTGAATGATACAAAATAAACCTTATGATACAAATGAATATTTCTAATAATAAAATGAGGTTAACTATTGAAGGATGTATATCTTGTTCTTTTGACTGGGGAAATGAGTAACTAAAAAAATTATCACACTATCTTACTTTAATAAGATTTGGCCTAAAACATACAAGAAGAGAAAAAAAAAGTAACAATTTAAACAAAGAGGAGACAAAATAAAAGCCCTCCTATTAAAGTTGTTAAAAATAGATCCATGATTACTACTACTAGTAATTAATATTTGAGTACTTAAGTTTGTGCTTGGAACCATTCTAAGCATTTTACTTGTGTTGGCTTACTTGATGCACACAACAACCTTGTGAGGTAGGTTTTATTATTATTATTATTACTGCCATCCCCATTAAGAGGAGAAAATTGAGGCACAAAGAGATTAAGTAGCTTACCCAAGGGTCACACAGTAAGAGGTGATAGGATTGGAATTTGAACCTAGGCAGTTTGACAAGACATAAGTAGAAAGGTTGAAATGAAAAATGGGCTACAATTTTTCAATTATTTACAATTCTACAGGATACATATAGCTATTTCAGAATCTCATAATATCTAAAATTAATAATTCTGGATCTTTGTCTTGGCATATGATCAACAATTAAGAAAATGTTTACAAATAAATGCATAAACAAATCAAGGATAAAATGTGAGAGTAACATTCCTACTATATGTTTGGTTTAATATTTGCTTCTGCATAAAAACCACTTATCAGTTAAATAAGGCCTAAGTGTGAGAAGGTTTTGGTTTCATCATCTGATTTCTGTTTTAGTCCAAATTATTTTCTCCAAAAAATAGAGATCATACTTAATGTTTGAACTTACATATGTAAAAAAAACTCCTGGTAAAAGATATAAGCTACCAAGTTAACTTGATAAATTATTTGCAAATTTCAAATTTAATTTTTGGTTTATGCTTGTATAACTAGATAATCTAGTTATAATTATCCAACAGCACAAAAATGAAGTGAAACTTTTTTTTTTACTTAAAAATATTTCTTCAGTTTTGGTGTTTGTCCTGGAAAAATTCTAATAGTATATAAATATAGGTATGGCTCTGGTAGTCTGAAAGTGATTGTATTTACTGACTGTGAACATCTCTGAATCTGTTTGCATTTGAGAAAAAGTAGAGTTGATTATCATCTCCAGATCTGCATAGAAAAGAAGTCCTCACATTGCCAAGTTCTCAGGTTGGCCCTTGTTACAAATTGACAATTGGTCATTATGTTTTGAACTTGAGACACAAAAAATATTAAATATAATCAAAGGAAAAATATATCTCCCAAATAAATGCAAATAGAAATAGAAACTTAACATGTTAATTAATATGTTGATGTACTATGTGTGTTTCAGATGATGAAGTCAATTGTTTGATTACTTCACCAACTTCTATAAATACTGATGAATAATGTAATTCAAAATGCCCTGCCGAAGAGGATTATTTGGGGAATTTGATGAATTATTTGGACCTCTGAAGTAAAAAACAAGGTTATTGCCAAAGTTTAATGAGGCCACAGTAGTTTTAAAGTTCACATTATTTGCTATTTAAATTATATTTTTGTGAATATAAAAATATAATTAAAWTTTTTTTTTGGTGGAAGACAGATGATGTTCAAATTTCTTTCCTATTAAGCAGTTGTTTCTGGTGAAGAATGAATTGGTAAAGCAGTTAACAATACATTTTCCAAAGATACCAAAGGGTCTGTATAGTATTGTAAAGCAGGATTGAATCCCTTCTGCTGTAAATACTGGATTCGACCTTGGTCAATCAGCAATTTACAAAGATGCCCTATTTTCTTCTTTTCTTCAACAGTAAGAAGCCTAAATGGAATAAACACACACACAAAATTAACATTTTGTAAGCTTTTAAAAAACTTTTAGTCACTTGTAATTATTGAAAAACTGTTAAATAGCCCACATTATACTGAGTACTATATTCCATCTTCCAAGGCACATTTACCTTATAACCTTAATAAAAATGCATGTATTTTAAGTTACTCTAAAAAATTACACTGTATGCTCTTAGGAATAAACTGTTGGCAATAATCATCTAAGAAGAAAGTAGTCCCCACTTATCCACAGTTTCATTTTCTGTAGTTTCTGTAACCTGTGGTTAATTGTGATCTGAAAATATTAAATGGAAAATTCCTTTCAATAATTCATAAGTTTTAAAGAAGTGATGTTCTGAATAGCATGATGAAATCTTTTGCCCTCCCACTCCTTCCCACCTGGGGTATGATGATCCCTTTGTCCAGCATATCCACACTGTATATATTACCTGACCATCAGATAGGTGTTTAGTAGCCATTTCTGTCATCAGATTGACGGTGGAGGTATTACAGAGCTTGTATCCTATCTGTGGTTTCAGGCATCCACTGGGGGTCTTAGAATATATGCCCCGTGGATAAGTGGGGGACAACCGTATAGCAATAATAAAATATTTCCCCTTTAGTGTTCAGCATTACAAAGTAGTCACTTACCCAGACAAACTCTCAGAGCTGTCATCTGTGACTCTGTATCCTCCTTCATCATGCTCTTCGCTATCATCATTTTGATTATCTTTTCTCTTTGTGGTAATATTTGAGGCTTCGAAAGATGTTTTCTGCATCCCACAAGTCGCCCAACTACTCATTCGCTGGAAATAGTGGAATTCTACTGCTCCAAGGCCTAGGGCCCTGAAATATTCTTTGCCCACATAATGTCTCCAATCACACCTGTGGTGACAACAGAGTGCAATAACAATGCCAGCCACAGGGGTCCACTTCTCTGGGACATTTTTTTCATTTCCTTCCTTGGCCAAAGTGTTAATTTCTTTTTCTGTTTTATCATTCTTTATGCGTTTGGCTAAAGGTTCTTCATTCCTTTCCTCAAAACTGGCAGCATAGGTTTCAACCAAACATCGTAATGCAAGATCTGCAAACACAATTATGTTGCCCCCCCCAAACCATCATCTTTAAAAATAAACATTTTTTATATTTCTTAAACAGTATGTTTTTTAAAAACCCAACAACAAAAATCTACTTAGCTTTATATATGTAATAATCCTATCATAAAGTATCAACTTTGTTCAAATCTGCTTTTTTTCTATCTTATTTTTTCTAGTGACTAATTTTGCATAAAATCTATTTCCCAATAAAACTATCCAAATTTAAGGTCTACAATTAAAAAAAAAACCCTTTTGTCTAACTATTTGAATTGTCTCCCATTTCCCCTACCCTGGCTGAGGAAATGATTTGTATAGAAAACATCTATTTACCTATACTTGCATTCCAGCTTAAGAAACTTGAGCTTAAGAAACTCAAAGTAAGAAGTAAAGAACAAAGGCAATTTTGCTTAACATAGTGATGCTAATTTTGAGTTAGAAGATAATCACAGCAAATAGCAATGAATTGAAGAGTAGAGAACAGGGTGATCAGAACATGGAAAGTAGGCCTCTCTGAGTAGTCTTACTGTGTTTATGCATTCATTCTGCAAATATTTTCTGAATGCCTTTCATGTGCAAAACATTGAGGATGCAATGATGATTAATATACCCAAACTTAGAGGATTATGTATGCTATAGTAAATGAAAACATTTTAGTACATTTTAAAACTAAAAAACAAACAAAAAAACCCAAAGATTTTTGATGAGTATGGATATTTTCCACTGAGAACTACTATACTGTTGACAATATTGGAAAGACCATAATTATATACTGTAAATTTTCTGATTAGATTGCTATATTGTGTCTGCTCAATTAAAAACAAATGTATATTTAAAAATTTTATTGCCCTAAGATGTCATAATATTAAATGATCTGATATTTGCTAGTAAAAATTTAGTTCAATATATGAATTTAAGTCAACAAACATTATTGGAAACCTATTATTTGGATAAGGTGATAGTCAATCTATTATTTATTTATTTATTTATTTATTTATTTATTTATTGTATAAGGGCACAACAGTTTTAATACAAACACCAATTTTCACAAAATAATTTTAATACTTTGTTACTAAAATGCTAATACAATTTTCTTTCTTTCTCTCTTTTTATTTTTGAGGCAGGGATTTTGCTGTTGCTCAGCTCAAGTGATGTGCCTGCTTTAGCGTCCTGAGTAGTTGTGCCATTGTGCCTGGCTCCATAAAATATTATTTTCTAACAAAATATATTCAGTCACTATTTTATTTATATTTAACTTAAGTAAATGATTTTCAGAAATGAGAATAATCAGAAAAATTATTAAAAGAATTAAATAATTTCAGAATTAAAAGGATCTTTATCAGTCTAGCTCAACCTCTTTTTTTTATAGCACTCTAAAGGGATAAAGCTGTACACCCCAAAAAGGACAAAGAAACACAGCAAATTAGTGGCCAAGATTATTCATTCATTCAAATTCACTGTTTCTGTTATATATTGAGCATTGTATTAGCATATGCCTTATTTTCAAAAAATTCACAGGATACTGGCAGAATTAAATAAACAGACATAAGTGAAATATAATCAGGTAAAGATACCACAGAGGCAGGGCTCAGTGGCACAATGCTGTAATCCAAGCAGCTCGGAAGGCTGAGGCAGGAGGATCATGAGTTCAAAGCCAGTCTCAGCAATGGTGAAGTGCTAGGCAACTCAGTGAGACTCTATCTCTAAATAAAATACAAAATAGGGCTAGGGATGTGGCTCAGTGTTTGAGTACCCCTGAGTTCAATCCCTGGTAGCCTCTCCAAAAAACCAAAACCAAACAAACAAAAGAGGGTATTGTGATAATACTAAGGAGGCAGATCTTATTTAAGGAGACCCCCGCTCCCGAAAAGAGGTGATAACTGAGCTGCAGGATGAATAGATATTGACCAGTCTTTTTGTTTGGGTGACAGTGGAATTCCAGAAATGGTAGGAACAGAATAGTATATGGAAAAATATACAAGCTTGATGTTGGTGAACAGTAAAGCTAGAAACAGAGTGGCAAATAACTGCTGAAGAATTTAAAAAGGGGAAGGATACACTAGGAATGTAGCAGATGGACCTAAATATTAATATTTAAAGAACCCTGTGGAAGGAAACCATGAAAGAAACAGAAGGAATGCACTGATGAAAGGAAAGAACTGGGAAAGAAGTGTCAGATAAGACGATGAAACAGAAATTCAAAAAGGATAATTAATTGCAAGAGATGAAAGGGGAATTCAAACAGARTGAACCAAAGTGGAGAAAATGCATGGAATATGAGAACTGGCCACTGTAGGTTATACTTTTGAGAAATATGGATTAGATGGGAAGAGTGTATACCCTTCCCCTTCCCCAGGATGAAATTGGATGCAACTGGTTTACTTCAAAAGGCTTTTATTTAAGGGTTAATTAAGATATATGGAAGTTATCTAAAAACTTTGAATTACAACACAATAAACAGTACTCATATTCAGCCAATTTGAATAATGTCTTATGAAGGCTCCAAGTTCCCCAAATGTATAGATGATGAAACTAGCAGGAGCCAAGRAGATATAACGATAGCTAACATAGTGAGCATTAATATATGCCAGAATTTTATGTGGAAACTGGTAAATGGTATTATTACCCCTATTTTACCAATGAGGTAACCAAAGCTCAGGAAGGTTAAATAACTTGCCAAAATTACACAGCAGAACCGACAATGAAACTATCCGAGTCCCAATGTATGCTGTTTCCATTCTACAATGCTAGATCTGATGAACAGAAGTGCTAAGACATCTTAGATTTTTCTGGTATGAAATTTTTAAAATTTTTCCTCAGAATCCTGACACACAGTGATCTTCTAAGTTCCTCTAAGAAAGTTTCTCTAAGTACCTTCTGGGGTGAAATACTACAGTTTCCACAACAATTTGTTTCCCTGTTTAGTTGTAATATAACCCAAAGAACTTTAAGGTTCCATATGACATATTATTTATATACAACACTCTAGATTCATCCTGCAAAATGGCCAAAATGAGCAGATATCTAGGAAAGCCCTGCATTTGATACAACATAGGGCCAGTGTTGCTTAGCTTATGAAGACTGTTTTTTTTTTGTAACGAGAATAAGTTTAAAAATTTTTTAATATATTTTTGTTCTTTGTAGTTAAACATGACAGTAGAGTATAATTTGACTTATTTATACAAACACGGAGTACATCTTATTCTAATTAGGATCCCAGTCTTGTGGTTGTCTACAATGTAGATATTCCCTGTGGTGGATTCTCATATACACATAGGAAAGTTATGTCAGAATCATTCTCCTGTCTTTCCTATTCCTTTCTCCATTCCCTTCCCTTCATTCCCCTTTAAGACTGATAAGCTATAAGTATAAGAAATCTTAACAACTCAAAAGAAACCACTAGGCAATTTAAATTAAGATTTAATGTATTAATTTAGATATTATCAGTGTGTTTACCTACCTGTTGCCACACCACACAGATGCTTTCCAATTCCTACCACAGGTAGTTTCCCTTCTCTCAGTACAGGAATCTTGTCTGAAATGAAAGAAAGCATTAAATAAGTTCTCTTATGAGATAAGTATATGTAGAGTTTACTTTCTTCTTCTTTTTTTTTAATTTATTTTTATGTGCTGCTGAGAATCGAACCCAGTGCCTCATATGTGAAAGGCAAGTGCTCTGCCACTGAGCCACAATCCCAGCCAGAGTATATGTGGTTTTTTTTAAGAGATAAAATTAGAATTAATTAAAATGCCTGAATTTTAGGGCTAAACCTAGAGACTCAAACAAAAAAATTCTCACTTTATAGAATTCAACATATAACCTGAGAAGCTGTTTATCAACATTAGAAAAGTAATATATTTAAAAATCTAGACAAAATATTTTATACATTATTAGCTAGGCAGAGGAACTATTTCATTTTCTTTAATGGTTTTGGTAAATTATGTTAATTACAGGCAGAAGGCTAGTTTAGGATATGAACACATTCAAGATTAATTTAAACAGGACAAAGAAGCAAATAAGGGTGCATTTTCAAATTTTAAACTCTTGCCTTGGCATGATAGTGCTTGCCTATAATCCCAGTGACTTGAGAGGCTGAGGCAGGAGGCCAAATTTGAGGCCAGCCTTAGCAACTTAGTGAGGCCTTGAGCAACTTAGCAAGACCCTGTCTCAAAATAAAATATTGAATCCCCAGGTCCAAAAAAAAAAAAATTTTTTTTAACTTTTTCTGAATATAACACTTCATTTTTAGTTAATACTGAAAATATTTTTTTCAATCCTAATTCAATTCACATTTACTTGAGTGTTACATATAATATTCTCTATTAATATTGAACTAATTTTCCTTTGTTTTTCCTGAAGCACTGTCCTAATGATTGAATTTCTAAGCAATCCTTAAAGTTTGAAACATCTCTGATTTATGATAGAGCAATGGAAAGTTAGGCAACTTACTCAAGCACAAATGTTGAATATCAATTTGAAGTCTTTCAAACACTGAATTTTTCTTTCTGTGTTTACCATCTACCTGCACAAACAGAACAGTATTATAACAATGACTCTTTGTGTTAAAAAAGTTTTATGAAAATGAAAAGATTTGTTTTCAAAATCCAGAGTAAATGTTTCCATCTTGTTTTTCTTATTATTGAAAAAATAGAATGAATTAAAAATTTTAAGATTGTGTATTTTTGATGAAAACTCTAAAGTAGTATCATTTTTATAAGATTTGAAAATTTTACCAATTATTATATACACATTATTTTCTTTAACTTTAATAATTCTCAATTCACTCAMAAAGAACTAGGGTTCACAGATATTAAGTAAGCTAAGATTATTTGCCAGCTCTTTTATCTTCGTTACGGGTGGCAATCTATTTTCATTTTGCTTCTTTTCTTACTTTCTCTGAAAGATTACATCCATTTTAGTCTATCTTTGTAAATGCCTACAACATACAGTTCTACATTGTGGCCCAGACCTCTCTGATGAGCATCAAGACACATGTCCACTTAAAAAAATTTTTTTGGTAGGGTTGGTAGGTTGTTGTACATGTCAGGCGAGCTTTCTACCACTGAGATACATCCCCAATAAAGAGCTTTCTACCACTGAGATACATCCCCAATAAAGTTTTATTTTTTTGTGGTGCTAGTGATCAAACCCAAGACTTCACAAATGTTAGGCTAGAACTTTACCACTGAGCTACACCCTCAGCCCCTCAGATGCATATCCAATCCTCAACTAGAAAATTCTACTTCAACAGAAAACTAGACACATTCAGAATTGAATTCATTACTTTTTCCTCCAAACTTATACTTCCTCTGCCTCCTCCTGTATTTCTTTATCTCAGGAAGAGCACCACTTACTTAAGTCATAAAAACATTACCCAAAATTACTCCTCTCTCATTGTCAATGAATAATAAATCACTGATTATTTTATTATTATTATTTTTTCACATTAAATAACTAAGTCTTTTGGCTTCCAACACTTTTAACATTTTTCATATTCTTCCCCTCTCCTATATCCTACTGCAACTACCTTAGCTTTCTGGCCCAATTCTTAATTGGATTACTGTTTTAAAATAATCTTATTATCAATTTTCCTACTTCAAGTCTCAGACTCTTATAATTAGCTTCACTTATGCTAAGCTAAATTTTTTTTAATATTTTTTTTTTTATTTTTTTTCCTTTTATTTTATTTTATTAAGGAGATAGGAATATTTATTTTTTAGTTTTTGGCGGGCGGACAGAACATTTTTGTATGTGGTGCTGAGGATCGAACCCGGGCCGCATGCATGCCAGGCAAGCGTGCTATCGCTTGAGCCACATCCCCAGCCCCTAAGCTAAATTTTTAAAAAAGTTTTTTTTTGCTTCACCAATGCTTATGAATTCTTCCAATCTCTCAACTGTCACTTTCTCTGTGAAATCTTCCACGATAACCCACACTAAACTGACGTTGTTCTTTTATCTTTATGCTCCCATAATATCCGGTATTTATTATTATCACAACATACTTAGCATATGGAAACAAGATACTTGTGTATCTGCCCCACTAGATGTAAGCTTCTTAAAGGCAAGAACCAAATCTTTTCAACTGTTTTTGAGCACATAGTAGAATAAAGTCAATTTTTTCCTCAGTATTCAACATGAGGTCTTCCCTAGCTAACTCTCTTTCCAGTCTCATCATTGCTGAACTTCACGTGATGCCCTCCTATCACATAGCAGAGTTTCCATATCGTTCAGGCATTTGGTTATGCTGTTTTGCTTCCTAGAATGCTTCTCAAACTCTCAGTTAGCAAACATTAATTCATCTTTTAAGATTTAGCTCAAGCATCACCTTTTCTGTATAGTCATTCTCCATCCCTTCTCTGAAATAAAACTTGTCACTCCATCTTTTAAATCTACACTATGTGCAGATTTTTTTCACTTTTCTGCATTTACTACATTTTAATACTTTATGACAATTATTTATTTATTTGCCTCTCTCTCCTTTCTAAATATAAGTAATAGAGCACAGGGGTTTTGTCTTACTAAACTTAAATGTACCAAAGGCCTACCACAGTGCCTGGGAGTATGCTCAATAAATATTTATAAATGAGTAGTCAGCAAGTATTGAGCGAAAGACAGGAGGAAGAGTAGAGTAAGACTTGTAACTTCTAGCTTGAGCCTGGCTCTTTCTACATATTTTCCTGTCTCTGCAAATGATTTTTAAGAACTCAGAACATGAATTATCCAAATTTAGATTTAAAAAATTCACCTTCCAGTTAAGTTACCAATATAATTAGAATTGATAAAGAGCTATAAATAAATATACAATAAAGGAAGTTTGTTTTAAGAGAATGTTTCTGACCATCACTTTTTTTCTAAAGCTGAAAAACGGAAAAAAAAAATGGTTACTAATATACTACAATGATTTCACTTACTTTGAATCTTGTGGTCACTTTTTCTACCAGGATGAAGTGAACTTTTTCAGCATCTTTTAAGGCAATATCAACCCAATGAGATAATTTTCCCTTTCCTGCTCCAAACTCAACAAAGCATCTTCTTGGACCAAGTAACTTTAATTTTTCAATGTTACCTAAAATAGAAGCCTGCAAACTTCACAAGATTATTTTATAAACTAGAGCAAACATAGTTAGCTCAAATGGGAAAACAGCAAGTCAATCTCTATATAAGGTAGTATGTTTGCACTAATAATTTGTTTGGCTTTAAGTTTTTTCTCATTTTTTAATATGTAATAATCTACTGAGAACTATTTCTGTGCCAATTTTTTTATATGTTTATACATATTTTTGAAATTGGAAAATTTTGTATCCTAAAAGATAAACAAAATCTCATTAGTAACTATATTGAGAAAGAAAAGAAGATTAGCTTTAAACAAATGAAGAAAGGTAGAATTATTGTGGTCTAAACAAACCTGCTGTTTCAGGTGCTTGGTTGCGGAATCACCATTTTTAGGGTCATTAAGGGCATCATATAATGCTGGATGGGACATAATGTGATCTTGAAGTGTAGAATTCAAACCTGTGCCAAATATAAATACAATAGCTTAACCAACCAAATATGAAACTACAGGACTCAGAACAAGGGTGGTAACATTTTGTAAATCAGAATCAACTCATATACCACTTTAATTACTCTAAAATAATTTAACTTGCAACTTCAGGCAGACTTACCTTCACTTGCTTTTCTCAGTTTCTTAATTAAGTTTTCCAACTGGTCTTCAGGTAGAGAAGAAATTGGAACCTGTAAACAAAAATAAAATAAATAACTTAGCAAAAAAATGCTTTAAAATACCATGACAGAGGATTAATAATTGGGCAAATTCCATGGCCAACCCAGGCTCTTCTTTCTGATAAAACCCCTTCCTTAAGCTGCCACCAGAATTGCTCAACTCCTATGTTTTGTCTGTCTCTACTCTGTTGCTTTAATTCCCCTAATCTCCTTAGGGTCAAGAAGTCCTTGGCTGGGGATATGGCTCAGTTGGTAGAGTGCTTGCCTTGCATGCACAAGGCCCTGGGTTCAATCCCCAGCACCACCAAAAAAAAAAAAAAAAAAAAAAAAAAAAGTCCTTAAACTCAGAAGAATCAAAGGAGACTCAAGCCATACTATAGCTTGTTATGGAGCATGGGCTAGTCTGGGAACTAACCATCACTAATAACACTGACTCAATAGGAAAATGCATTCTAAATTCAAAACAACAGATTTATACCAAATAAAAATTGGAACATGGCTTCTATACAATATGGAGATAGGTTACAAATACCTTTTAATATTGAATATTAATGTACTTACTAATTGTTCAGGTATTTCTGTTTCATCTTTCAAGCCTGCATTAATATCTTGAATAAAGAAATCCTTGACAAAAACAAAACCGTAAAAAATTAATATGAAGTTCACAAAAATTAAGCTGAAAAACTGAAACTTCCCTTTTATCCCAAACTCTGTTTCTGCCATCCTCCCTTCCTCCCATTCAGTCATTAAATAATTTGTGAGTACCTACTCTGGTGCCTGGTTTGCTTTAGATTTTTAAGGAAGGATTCACCATAGTAGATAAGAGAGGAGAAAAATCTGTGTTCATSGATCATATATTCTAGAGAGGTAATTAATTGGAATAACTTATAGTCTAAAAATTCATTAATAATTTTAATTTTTTACCTGGTTACAGCATAAACTAAGGACTGTGCCAATTTTGCCTTATGGTGTAATGGCAAAAACGAATACATACTTTCTTCAGACAGGCAGCATGACCAAAATGAAATAATGATATTATAATGGTGTAAGTCTGACTTTTTTCTACTTTAAAATACTAATTAGGGCCTACTTTTTCTTCTGTTAGACGCAGTCTCTGGTTTAATCCCTAGATCCTTGATCCATTTTGAGTTAACTTTTGTGCATGGTGAGAGATAGGGATTCAATTTCATTTTGTTGCATATGGATTTCCAGTTTTCCCAGCACCATTTGTTGAAGATGCTATCTTTTTTCCAGTGCATGCTTTTGGCACCTTTATCATGTATATTTGTGGGTTAGTCTCTGTGTCCTCTATTCTGAATCAATGGTCTACTAGCCTGTTTTGGTGCCAGTACCAGGCTGTTTTTGTTACTATTGCTCTGTAGGCCCTAAACTCCATCATGTGGTGCTAGGCCCCAACTTTTTTTTTTTTTTTTTTTTAAAAGAGAGAGAGAGAGAGAGAGAGAGAGAGAGAGAGAATTTTTTAATATGTATTTTTTAGTTCTCGGTGGACACAACATCTTTGTTTGTATGTGGTGCTGAGGATCGAACCCGGGCCGCACACATGCCAGGCGAGCACGCTACTGCTTAAGCCACATCCCCAGCCCCAGGCCCCAACTTTTTTAATAAGACGCCTGTAGCACAAGAATTAAAACCAAGAATCAACAAATGGGATGGATTCAAACTAAAAAGTTTTTTCTCAGCAAAAGAAATAATATGTGAGGTGAATAGGGAGCCTACATCCTGGGAACAAATTTTTACCCCTCACACATCAGATAGAGCTCTAATCTCTAGGGTATATAACGAGCTTAATAAGACATGCACCAAAAAACAAAAAACAAAAAACAAAACAAAACAATCTGATCAATAAATGGACCAAGGACCTGAACAGACACTTCTCAGAAGAGGACATACAATCAATTAACAAATATACGAAAAAGTGCTCATCATCTCTAGCAATCAGAGAAATGCAAATTAAAACTTCTCCAAGGTATCATCACACTCCAGTAAGAGTGGTAGCCATTATGAAGATGAACAACAACAAATGCTGGCGAGGATGAGGGGGAAAAAGGTCACTCATACACTGCTGGTGGGACTGCAAATGGTGCAGCCAATTTGGAAAGCAATATGGAGATTCCTTGGAAAACTGGGAATGGAACCACCATTTGACCCAGCTATTCCTCTTCTCGGACTATACCCAAAGGACTAAAAACAGCATATTACAGGGACACAGCCACATCAATGTTTATAGCAGCACAATTCACAGTAGCTAAACTGTGGAGCCAACCTAGATGTCCTTCAGTGGATGAATGGATAAAAAAAAATGTGGCATTTATACACAATGGAATATTACTCAGCAATAAAAAAGAATAAGATCATGGCATTTTCAGGGAAATGTATGGCATTAGAGAAGATTATGCTAAGTGAAGTTAGCCAATCCCCAAAAAACAAATGCCGAATGTCTTCTCTTATATAAAGGGGGTGACTCAAAATGGGGTTGGGAGGGAGAGCAAGGGAGGAAGATTACCTCTAGATAGGGAATAGGGGTGGGAGGGAAGGGAGGGAGAAGGGGAATAGCATGGATGGTGAAAGGAGACCCTCATCACTATACAAAATACATGTATGAAGTTGTGAATTTGGTGTCAACATACCTTATATATAATCAGAGATATGATAAATTATGATATAATGGTGTATTAAGAATTGTAATGCAAAAATATATAAATAAAGATGATTATGAAAAAAATAAAATACTAATTAAAAATTGAAAGTAGAAGTATACTGTGATACTATGCTACTTAGTCCATCTGTAGAAATATGAATTCTAGGTAAATATTTAGATAAATATTGTCCAATAGTATTCTCTGCAATGATGAAAAGGCTGTATATTTGCCTTAACCAACATGGCAGCCACCAGCAGTGAAATATGGCTAGTGCAACTGAGAAACTGGACTTTCAATTTCATTCAATTTTAATTAATTCAAATTCAAACAGTTTTATATGGACAGTGGCTGTCATATTGGACAGTGTCGATCTACATGAATGAAATAATAGTGTTTCTACAAATCCTTTTTTTAAAAGTGAAAACAACTCCCAGAGACAATTCATTATACATAGTAGTAGACTTCTGTTACACAGATGGCAGAAGGCTAACGTCTTGAGTATGTGCTGCTTGCTTTTCCTATATGTTTAAAAATGAAAACCTGTAATTGAGTGGAATGAGTGAAAACTGCATGTAAAAAGGTTTGTTGGATGATTGACAAAACTATAATAGAAAATTAGCTATACCTATTATAATTTGATGTACTCCTAAAGTTTTTAAAATGGTTGTAATGAATGTTCTAGGTAAACTGTATTGTGGATTAGACTTCATATGTAAAAATTATTTATGTTGGAGAAATTTACCATCAACCTACTTTCATTTACTATGCAAAATGTTTACAAAATGATGAAGTTTCACAAAGTCAAGCAAAACAGTGATATGAATCTACCTAGTTTCCAAGTTTCATATTATAGTGTACCAGATAAAGATTGCTTGGTATTTTTTCCCCCCATCTCATCATCCCATTGTGTTTTCCCCTTTCCTTGCCATGGTATGCATGAAACCCATCCCAAAGTATTCCATTTTAAATAAATTCGTACATTCTCTCAAACTTTTCACAGAACACACATTGCATTTGCTTGCTTTAATGGAAACCTGGCATTAGGCAAGGAAGAAATTTCCAAGTAAAACCTTATTTTCTCTTTCTACTAAAGTGGCTAAAGGATAAGGGGGAGGTGGATGGTCATCATTTTTCTTCTATAGTACCTTAATGTTAAAATATTTTCTTCTAAGCTTAAGGCATCTGGCCTAGTAGTTCTAGGCAATGTATGAGGATATTTTATTGTCAAAATGACTGAGAACAAGTGCTATCAGAAGATAATTTTCCTATGGGTCTTTCAATCTTCTRTAAGTCTTCCAAGCAGTCACTGACTAAATTTATTTCAGACTATCTTTTCAAAGATGCTTTATACCAAGTATCCTGGGAAAATCGAAATGGTGTCTTCTAGGTCACATAGTAGGCTTAATTATTATACAGTATAAAACAGAAAAATGTCTACTTATGAGACACAGTTTAGGCAGCTTTGCTTATTGCCCAGTTTAAAAGGATTTATAGTTCCTGAATTTGGAGTTCTTCAATTATGATTCAAGTCCACTTTATTTGCAGAATTCATCTAGGYCCCTCTGTGGTGTGTCCATAGGCTTTGGGAAACAAGAAGAATTCATGTAAATAACAAGCTCCTGTTGCTTCCTGTGAGGAATGAATAATGTGTGTGAAAATCAGTGGTAGGGTACATGCTTAGCATGCACACCAGCATCAAAAAAAAAAAAAAAAAAAAGTACTTGGTCTCTGATCCAGGAAACGCTTATCTTCTACCAGCATCCACAAATCTGTGGTTAGTTTGTTATTAGTTTGAAAATATGATGAAATATAATAAAATTTCAGAACCTTCTCAGTACTTGCCATTTGCTGCTCAGGAGCTACGATGGGTACTTTGGGAAGTACAGGAATACTTTGAAATGCACATGCTATGACTGTCTCATCAAAATTACCAAAAGGCCCAGTGAGAAATACCAGGCTCTTAAATCATTGTCTGAATCTCCTCAGGTTGTCAACTATTCATCTGTAGGTCATTGTCTGACATCTACTAGGATTTTGAAAACAAATTGTATTTTATATTTCAAAATCCAGCCAAAATGATTCTTTAAAATCACTCAATGGAACGGTTCTGCGTTAACTTTTTAGGTAAATATTTAAATACTGTCCAATAGAAGTCCAAATTCAGGTAAAATTATTTATGTTGGAGAAATTTACCATCAACCTACTTTCATTTACTATGCAAAATATTTACAAACTGATGAAGTTTCACAAAGTCAAGCAAAAAGTACATGTCAATAAAGTACTTCCAAGGACCTCTAGACTGTCATTGCTATGAACCATATAACTTCTAAAATCTTCAACTGACCACAATTCTGTAATATGCTAGTAAAAAGCACAGTGATTCTTTTGTTCCTAATCATATTATCTCACTTTTAAATACCTCTATTGACTTTTTCTTTTCTTTTGTGGTACTAGGGGTTAACTCCAGGGGCACTCTACTACTGAATTACATCCCCATACACACACACACACACACACACACACACACACACACACACACGACTCCAGGGGCACTCTACTACTGAATTACATCCCCATACACACACACACACACACACACACACACACACACACACACACATATACATACATACATATGTATACCTGTAGTTTGCTGATGGTCTTGATGGTTGACTGTCAAATCATTACTATGTATTCAACATTCCACTTTTGTGAATATATTTTTCTATTCTATTCTTTTTTAAAATAAATTTTATTCTGTATATGAGTTTTGTATATAACATGATGTTTTGAAATACATATAGAGAGTAAAGTGCTTACTATATTGAAGCAAATTCATACTTGTCATCTCATATAGCTACTTTTTTTCCCTACTCTATTGTGTTACTGAACAGAGAACTGAATTTTTAGCCCTTGTTTAGTGATAAATTGTTATTATGGTATTATGTACTCCTTAGTTATAAATAAGTGTGATCATAAGTTAATGTGACTTTTAATCCCAAAATACGGTCTGCTGAATACTGGTGAAGTAAAACCACCTAAGCATTTGTATAGGTTCCARTTTAAATTCATTATCTCTACACTCAGTCTGATTCCCAAAGACACCCAGCAATTATTCTTCATAACCATCATACCCTTTAACCACCTTGTCTCTTAATTGTAGAGATTAGCAAAAGTGCAGCTATCAAAAAGAATTTTCTCAATTAATATTCCTTTTTGGTTAAATTTGCCTGAACTAATAATATTTATCTACTACTTCCTATCTATTTCACTGGAAGCATTATTCCTCCCCCTATTGATGCCTTCTACTTCTATTTTGTCTTCTATCCCTCAATGCTTTCTGAGAAACATTCTACCATTAATTATGCTCTCTTCTGGTTTCTATTTTTTCCCTTCTACTGGCTTTTCACTTTGAGCTTATAAATAAAATTTTCCCCATTTTAAGAGCCATTCTGACTTTCAAGTTCCACCCAAAGCTAAGTTTGTTGCTTGTGGTTTTTACTGCTTTATCTGTCTTTTATTCACATATCTAGTCTGATTTTTTTCTCTCCCCATACTATTTAATACGAATTTTGCTGATCATTAACAATCACTATATTGTCAATCCAATGTTTTCTTCTCCATCCTTATCTTATTTGATTCCTCTGTGATGATAAAAACTCCTGATCACAGGCTAGGGTTGTGGCTCAGTGGTAGAGTGCTCGCCTAGCATGCACAAGGCACTGGGTTCAATCCTCAGCACCACATAAATGTAAAATAAAGATATTGTGTGTCCGCCTAAAAATTAAGAATAAATTTAAAAAAAAAGAAACTCTTGATCACTCTTTTCTTTTTGAGGTTTGTCTTTCTGGGGCTCCTAATACACCATGCTCTTCCAGTTTTTCTTTTTCCTCCCTTTCCAGCCACCAGTCTCAATTTTTTTCTAGGGTTCTTTTTAGCAGTTCACCCTTCAATGTCAATGTTGCCTAGAGTTCTGTCCTTGATCTTATGATTTACTCCTGGCTACTCTCAGGTCTCATCTTTTATTTTGTTCTCCTTTTATTTTATATTCTAGTTATGTGAGATTTTCAGTCCCTGACAAAGGAATTTATTCTCACAGCCTTTGCACATATTTTCCTCCTTAGAGGGCTGATTCTCCCTTGACATTTAGCTCTCATCTTTTATGATACTTCCTTCAGAGATGCCTCCATGATTCATTCCCCCATTTCTCTCATGCCCTATTATTCTCCAAAAAAGGGTTAGGCCCTCCTTCTTTATTCTCCCTTAGCATCCTGTACTTAATCACGTTTAGCACATAATATTGCATTTTCCATTTCCCTCACTACATTGTTATGTTCTTCTAGGCAAGGTGCTTGGTACAATATTTGGCATATGTGCTCACTTAATATCTATTGAAAAATAAATCCTTTTCTTTTTCCTATAATCACTTATCCTTGGGTACCTTAAAAATCCAAAGTTTTAACTATAACCTATATGTATTTGACTTCCAATTTTTGATTATTTGTCCAAGCTCTCTATTGAATTTCAGTCATATACCCAACTCGAATTTACTGACACCAAGTTTTATTGATTCTGCTACCTAAATAACTATTATACTCTTCCCATATTCTTTAATTATCAGTCTCTTACCAAATCCCAATTGGATGCAACAATAGCTTTCTAACTAGTCCTACTGAGTCCAACCTGTCCTACCACATTGCTATTAAAGAAAGTTTTATTTATTTTTGTTTTTTAAATTCTTTTAATTGTCAGTGGACCTTTATTTTATTTATATGTGGTGCTGAGAATCGAACCCAGTGCCTCATACATGCTAAGCAAGTGCTCTCACTGAGCTATAACCCCAGCGCCAAGAAGGGTTTTTAACAGGAAAATTTGGCCATGCCATTCCCAAGCTTAAAATCTTTCAGTGGTTTTTCCCATATCTTTCAGAATAAAGTTCCAGTTTCTTGAAAGTATCATGTGATTTCTCAGCTCCATGCCTTTGCACATGTTGTCCTTTGTGTTGAAAAAGGACCCTTCTTTCTTTTCTTTTCCACATCAAGACTCAATTCCACTATTACTCCCTCTGAGAAACCTTTCTCAACCCTTTATATTTGTTCTTAATTTTGATGCCAGTATGTRTTCTCATCATACCATGCTTGCTCCTTTTATTTGACCTTACTGAACAATATTCTTTATTTACAAGTTTACTTTCCAGTCTCAAGCTCCTTGAAGACTGAGATAATATTTTACTGAAATAATTTTAGTAGGCACTAAGTAAATGTTTTTAAATAGTGAACTTATTCTCTGAACAACATTCAGGTTCCATAAAATTCTGTTCTCTGAATTAAGACCATGAATGAATTTATAATCTCATATGTTATACATATAAACTTAAAAGACACTGACCAAGGCAACAGTCTTGTTAAATATTCACATTAGTAATATATTAAGTACTGTATATAACATAGTACACATTTTACCATTCAGTTTTACTGAGCAAACACTTACAGGTTTTGGCTTCTCCCTTGAATTACATTTTTTCAAATGTTTTGCTAGTTGATCTTCATATACTGTGCTAAATTTGAAAAGAAAATATAAAATGAGACTTCTGACAATTATTGTTTCTATCACAGAAAACCCCTTATTTGATCCATACTTACTGTTTTGGATCTAAAGGACACAGGATTCTTTTCCGAGCATTTTCTTCCTAATGTGTTAAAAGGGATATATTTAGTTAAGTAAAATATCAGTTTTACTACTTATAGATACTAGATATAACTTTTGTGTATCTGCACTGTCAAAAAAAAGGTAAGAAAAGTTTAGAAGGACATAACGAAAAATTGGCAAAATCAGGTCATAGGGTTTAACAAAAACAAAATATCCAATGTAGCTAATATCTATATAAGAATAAAAACTGCTTTGGACAAACAAGTGTCCATGACTTCAAATAGGTTATAATAAAGGCCTATATATGCACAGAAATTTGAATCCAAGATGACATCTACTATAATATGCACTATTATTTTATGTACCACCAAGAAAGAAAAAAAGTTAACCATTTAACTAAAAACTGACAAAAATTTTATGTTTATCATATACAACATGATACACTGAAATATGTTTACCTTGCGGAATGGCTAAATTGAACTAATTAACATATGTATTATCTCATTTATCATTCCTGTGGAAAATACTACCCATTTAAATTATGACATATCACTGATTTTAAGAACCATCTTGATCTCTAAGTTGTAAAAATCTGAAAATAATTATTTTAGAAACAATGAAACACAGTATTTTAACAATTAGGTATGTGCCATATTCTACGGACTTCAACTTTTCAGTATAGCAGTTATATCCTTTCACTTTAAGTTACACAGATTTAACTATATGCACTGTGAAAAGAGGAAAATTAATAATCTTGGCAATTCTACTCCACATTCCATATGAATCTGTATGAACAGCATAAACAGTAGTTAAACCACAGACCAGTTCAGGACTACTGAGATATATTTCCAGTTCTATCAGCTACCAGCTACATGACCTAAGTAGGCTTATTGCCTCATACAAAAGATAAGAATAATATCTTACCTACTAAGGTTGGTGAAAATTAGCGAGCTATTAGTTTTTTGTATTTTAACAAAAGGGATAAAGCTGCTTAGCATAGTGCTAGCCATAGAATAAACCCTGACCAAGGGCTTACTCTTTTTTTGTGTGTGTGGTACTGAGGATTCTGCTCAGGGACTTGAACATAATTAGGCCTTAACACTGAGCTACATTCCCAGTTAGATTAAATTTTGAGTGTCACTAAGTTGCCCAGATGGGTCTTGAATTTGGGATCCTCCTGCTTCAGCCTGGCTAGTGTTCATTCTTATGGACTTTTTTTCTCAATTTATTTTAGTTCTGATGTGCCTCTTAGCATGTTCATGAAAACTATGCACACTGAATTTTATGGGAAAAATTTTTGAAAATACTTTTATTCCTTATTTGTTAATTTAAAACTTAATTTCTGCCATGGGCTTGTCTACAGTCCCCACAACTTGGAAGGGTAAGGTGGGAAAATCATTGAGACCAGTTTGAGACCAGCCTGGGTAATTAAGATCCCTGTCAAAAAAACAAAAGAAACAAAACTTAACTTCCATGTAGGAAAAGTCTCTATTCTAACTTCCAAAGTCCAATCATAGAGGAAAGAATAAAAGCACCTTTTAAAACTTGTTGTTTGGATTTAGAAACGAGGTTTCTCAAACCTCAGCACTACTGACATTTTGGCTTGGATAATTTGTTTTTTGGAAGGGGGCTTTCTAGTGATTTGTAGGTTTAGCAGTGTCTCTGGACTCTACCCATTAGATGCCAGTTATACTTCCCAGTTGTGACAACCAAAATGTTTTCTGTCATTGCCAAGTGTCTTCTGGGGAACAAAATCATCCCCAGTTGAGAATCACTGGCTAAAAATGGGTTTAAGTAATGTCATCAGTGTCACTTTTAAAAAAAGATGAAGAGGAAAACATAATATTCCAATTACATCATGAACTACAGATTCAGGAGAATGGTTAACAATTCAAAACCCAGTGTTTGGAAAGTGTTTCCCCTGGTATTTTGCAGTCTTTCTCCAAGGAACTAATATCTACATGTAGTTCCTTTCTAAGAATAGCAATCACCTTGTAGATTTAGCCACATTCTAATACTATTACCATCTTCATTACTTTATAGATGTCTGGATACAGAGTGGGAACAAAATCTTTGTGCTCTGATAAATTTCATTCTTCAATCAAGGGTGTTTGCGGGCCCCCTAAAATCAGCCAATAAAATTACAGGAGGACTTCACAAGTAGTTTCCACAATAAGTCACATTTCCCATATTCCAAAACAAGAAAGTTCTTGTTTCAGTATGCTTCCCTTTAGGTAAATGTTACCAACCCAAAACAGGAAGTAGGCTGTGGCTATGAAATGTAGTTTTACACAAAGGGGCTCATCTGCACTGTATTTTTGACTAGAAGGATAAAATGTCAAAAATAAAATAATGGCAGGGGCTGGGGTTATAGCTCAGTAGTAGAGTGCTTGCCTGGTACTTGTGAGGTACTGGGTTGATCCTCAGCACCACATAAAAAATAAATAAATAAAACAAATAAAGATATTGTATCCATCTTTAAAAAAATAAAATGCAAATAATACTGGACTTTTAGAAGGCATGAAGCCAGATGCTAGTCTATTTGGTTTATTCTTTCTAATCCTATTGAATATGTTCTTTTTCTATCAGGATTCAGCTCCTCTTGTTCTTATTTTTATTTTCCTATTATATATATTATATACTTTATATGTCATATATAGTATATATTCTATATTATGTACTTACATATGCCATATATAGTATATACTATATATTATATTCTTATTTTATATATGCTTATATAATGCATACAAGCAAATATACATTGGTTGATAGTATATTTATATGAATATTGTATTATCAAACAAGATTGCACACTTTCTGCTTTCAGCTTTAAAAGGTCAATTCTTATATATTTTTAAATCATTCCCTCCCCATTCCAGCCAAGTAGTTCTAAGTTGCTGTCTAGAGATTGTAAGCCTAAATAAAAATTTTAAAAGTTTCTCTTTAGAGCATTTACAAGAAGTGGTTATCGTTCATGATACAACAATTAGAACACAACCAGCGAACTCTAGGAACTTCAATCGCTACTTTTTCTAAACTACCACTTCCCATCAGGAAGGCGGAGGGTGGACGGAGTTAAGGAGCAGCAGTTTGGGGCAAAACTAAAGTCTAGCATTCCCGAGGTAGGATCAAGATGAACGTGTCACAGCTCGCGTTTCACTTAGTAAAATAAAACAATGCTCATCACTAGGGCTCATCATCGCTCCACAAGTAGGTCAGAACTTCGTTTATTAAAGTAAAAGCTGGAGAATCCAGGGGACAGAAGCAGAAACCTGTCAAAGAGGGGAGGGGCCGGGTTCCAGCACCGACCGCTCCGGTAAACTTATTGTCGACTCTCAGAAGGTTAGGGCGATACCAGACCTCCGCGGCTCCAGCGTGTTCACCACAGAACCTTTTCCCGGCGGCCACCACCATTCTACAGAATCGCTTCTTCTTTTCCACATAGTAACTGCATCTACCCTCTGCTGGAAAGCCAGTAGCATGCGGTGTCCGCGCCGAATCCGCCATAATTCTGGGTGAGCTTCGGCAGCCAGCATCCGGCGCCCAGAGCAAAAGTTGTCACTTTCCTTTGGGTGGTTTTCCCTTAACAAGCATGGCGTCCTCGGGTCCGGCCACACAGGTAATCCTCGGAAACAGCGCCCCGCCCTCGTCCCTTCCGTAGCAAAACCGGAAGAGACTGATGGTGTCTGGTGAGGTCCAAACCTCCTTCGTTTTCCCTCTGTTTCTCCCCGCCTCCTCCGCGGGAGCCGAGCGCCAAACTCAAAACTCTGTCAGGACCCGCACGTCTTTCAGGCTACTACCGCGGGCCGGCCTGTTTGGCTTTTCCGCACAGCGGCCGGGGCAGGGGGTCCAACATGAGCCAAGTTCTGTTCCAGCAACTAGTTCCGCTGCAGATGAAATGCAAAGACTGCGAAGAAAGGTTAGGTCCGCGTCACCCAGTGTCGGCGGGTGGCGGTTGGGGTCGGGCCAATGGGGAAAATGGCGGCTTCGGCCGGTGGGTACCGGCTTGCGGCTGGGTGTCGGGCTGGCCCCTAGGAAACTTAGAGAGAACCCAGCGGGGACCTCCTGGTTTCGTCTTTCCCCGAGTTGGCTGTTACAGAGGGGACGAAAGGAAAGGGATGAGGAAATGGGAAACCGACTCACTTTGAGTATGTCAAAAATCCTAACTTCCGAATGGCACCGTGCAGATGGTAGGCTAGTGTTCATTTTTGGCAGGTAAGAGCTCTGGCCCAGAGAAATTAATTGACACCAGGGCTCACGGTGAGCTCGTGGCTGAGTCAGCCTGAGAACTTGGGCCTTGGCCTCCAGCCATTTTTTTCATTCTCCTTTGAAGCATACTGGGAATACATTTTTCAACTTCAACTAAAAATAAATAATTTCAGTGGTCTTATTCACATTACTCATAAAATTACTTTTAATTGATCAAAAACAATGAGAAAATCGGAAACTCAGCGAATTCACTCAAGAAATGTTGCCTCCATGTAAACACCTGGCAGAGAGCGGGGCATACATTGGTCTTAGTGTAGTTTACAGCCCAGTAGAGGAAAGACAGGCCAGCCTCTCAACTAAGTGCAAAATTGCAACGTTGACTAAGGTAGTGGTGCCACTAGACCCTAAATAGGCTGGACTAGAAGTCAGGAGATCTAATTTTTTTTCTTCATTACACCCACGGACTCTCTCTTAGCTTCTGTGAACATTGCTTCCTCATCTGTGACATTGATAGAGCATACTACCCACATAGTTGTTAATGAGGATCAAGTGGAAAATGTATGTTAAAAACTAAATGGCATAGAGTGTAGCATAAAATGACATTGATTTATTGAGTTGCCAGTAATGTTAAACTGTAGTATGTAATTAAGAATTGAATCTAAAATGAGTTGGCAAGCCAGACAGGAGATGGTACCAAAACCAAAGGTTCATATGGGAGATCTGTTATTTGGCTTGGTCATTCTTTGTCCTCTTCTTTTTTGGTTTTGAGGATGGAACCCGGGCTCTTGCTCATGTTAAGCACATGCTTTACCACTGAGCTATATAACAACAACCACCACCACCCCCTAGTTTTTTTTATTCTTTTGTTCTGCTAGTGTGGTATCCACTAGCCACATCCAAACTGATGTGCTGTGTGAAATGCACACTGGATTTTGAAAACATGTTGTGTGGGGAAAAAAGAATGTAAACTTTCTCAGTTTTCATTTTGATAAAATGGCAATATTTGAGATATATTTGGCCAGATAAAATGCATTCTTAAGATTAGTTTACCTGCTTTTTAAAGCTTTTTAAAAATGTGGTTTCTAGAAAATTTAAATTATTACATACATTGCTCATATTTGTGACCTGCATTGTCGCAGATCTAATAGGACAACACTGTTCTACAATGATTATACAAAGAAAAAGGGATCATCATTTCTGRTTCCAACATTGAAACTCTTAGCTCTTTTCCTTCTGTACATTGTTATCTCAGTTTATCGTCTTAAAACATAATTTCAGCTTTTTCATTCTTCTTGTTAGTAATCTTTCATATAGTCTTAGGATCTGTAGCATAATTCAGCAAACTAAATAGTCAGTGAGACAGATGGGCCACTGTAAATAAAACTTTATTTGAACATAGCCATGTTTATTTGCTTACAAATTGTCTCTGGCTGATTTTTGCACAAGGGTAGAAATGAGTAATTGTACTATGGTGTCTTTTTTTTTTGCAGGGGGATGATCGGAGATATTTCTCAGTGGCAGAGCAGTTGCCTAGCATTTGTGGGGCTCTGGGTTCTATTCACAGCATTGGTGGGGCAGGGGATGGGGAGAGGGAGGAACTGCAGGGAAGGAAAGAAAGAAATGTGTAATTGAGACAGAGACCCTGTAACCTGAAAAGCCTAAAATATTTACTCTCTGGCACTTTACAGAATAATTTACTATTCCTAACCTATAGAAGAACAACCTCTTAGATTTCTTTAATTATTCAAGGCCAGTCAACTCAACCAATAGATGCAAATGGCTACTATGTACCAGAAACTGTCCTAGGTGCTAAGGATAGAAATGCTCCCTTTTCCTTCACTCACTAAACAAACAAACAAACAAAAAAAACAATGATTGTTGTGCCCTCAAGGAACTCAGAGTTCAATTCGGGAAATCAAAAGATTTCCTTTAGAAAGGCAGCACAGCACAAGTATGGGCTCTGGAGCCAGATTGCCTTGGTTTAAATTCTAGTTTTGCCACTTATTCACTGTTTGATCTTGTACAATTTTTTTAAAAGCTTTTTTATGATATTTTGTGTTTGTGTGTATGTGTACTGAGGGTGTGRACCTAGGGCCTTACATATGCTAGGCCTGTGTTCCACCATTGTACTATACCCCTAGCCCTGATCTCATACAATTTATTTAACTTCTCTGTGTCGAATTTTAAAATTCATGATAATAGTACCTATCTCATGGGATTATTATGAGGATGAAATGAGTTAATACATTTAAGGTGCTTAGAATAGTGCCTAGAGTATAATAAACATTCATTAAACTTTAGCTATTGATATAGTGTGAAGTCATAGAGAAGAAAGAAATTCAGTTAAGAATAGAGGTAATTAATGATCAGGGAACTCTGGAGGAAAATGATGTCAAGTTTTGAAGTCCATGATTTGTTACCAACCTGCTTTTCCAGTTTTCTTTCCTCAAAAAAAAAAAAAAAATCCACTCTGGTATGTTAGTTATGAAAGAATTATTGTTATTTTCTGAATGTATCTCATACTCTCTCTATACCGTACTTTATTCCTGCTATTTTCTCTGCCTCAATGCTTTTTCTTTCATAATCTCCAAGGTGTATGTTAAATTCTTTCATTATAAGGATCTTTTAAAGTTGCCCAAGTTGAAAGTAATTATTCATTTTATTAGCATGGTGTACATGAGACATCTGAGTTCTAATTTAGTCTTTGCAATGTGGTTTGTGTTCTTCCATAAAAATTTTTTTAGAATGATTTAAACTATTTGTTAAAGTAGATAAGATTATTGTTGTTAAATAAGATATGTAAATTGTCTACCAGGTACTCAGTTAGTATTGGTAACCTTTCCCTTCTCAAGAATTCATAAAATATAATCAGAAGCAAATCTATGGAAAAGTGATTTAATCTGACCTCAATTTGAAAACATGGACCATGTTTGTTTCTGTTTGTATCCCTAGCACCAGGCATAGTAGCTGGCTAGAGTAGCTTTCATTTGTTTGGATTGAGAGGTTAGGATCACAGCTACTGGGTGACAGCAGTGGGCTAGAATCCAGTTCATCTAGTGTCTGAAGTTTAAGATGCTTTTTTAAATAAGAGAACACCTGTTCAAATCTACTACCTGGAGGATGTTATGTAGATTCATAGTATTCAGAGTGGGACACATACTGAGATAAGAAATACCTTCTATTGAGATTTTATTGATTTATTTTATATAGGTCTTTTGTCATTAACCATTATGTAGAGAAAATAAGATTTGTGATTTCAGATAGATATTTCTGAAAGCTCAGATTTTCCTACAATTTTTTTTTTTTGTATTGGGGATTGAACCTAGAGGCACTTTACTACTGAACCACAGCCACACCTCTTTTTTTTTTTTTTTTTTTTTTCTTTTATTTTGAGACAGGGTCTGCTGCTTAGAGTCTCACTGAGTTGCTGAGTGAGACCCTAACTTGCTATCCTCCTGCCTTAGCCACTCGAGTTGCTGGGATTACAGGCATGCACCCTGGTGTTTTCTCTACAAGATATTTCTATGGTGTTATCAAAGTAAACATGGAGAATGTTTAATTTATGGATCTTGCCTCCATTTTCCTTCCAACAACTAATACATATAGGCATTTTGAATATATGCAAGAATATAATTATATGATTGGTAAATTATCATATAAAGGACATTTTATTAAATAGATGTTTCTTGAATTTTTTTTCCTACAAATTATGAAGTCTGACATTGATTCTAAAACTGTGAAGCTGTAAAGCATAAAAAGTTGTCACAGTTCATATCACTATGGGAGTATGTTCTTGAATAAACTTAGAAAGATGAAAACCAAACATGACATAATGACATTGTAGAACTAAAAAAATCCTCACAAACCATCTAATTGAATTTGCTTGTCTTACAAATTAGGAAGTTGAAGTTTTTTTCCTCCCAAGAAAGCTTAATTTAAGTGAAATTGAAGTGGTATTCTGATGTGTTTCACATACATTGCTCTACAATACTAGAAAAATAGAAATACCATATTCTCATTTTAAAAGTAATTCTTTCTGTCTTTGTGGTGTAGATCAGTGCTGCTATTACTTTTCAGATAACAGTTAAGTGGTAACATTTAACTTCCTCATATAAACTAATATTTAGCATTTACTCATATTTTCAGTAAAAAACTTAACAAAAATGACACATTTTAAAGGAATATACAGTTACCAATTAGAGGATAAAATACCTAAGCAGTTGAATCTTAGAGAATCGTTTCCAAGTTTTCCCATTAATACTCGATTGCAATATGTATACTTTTTTTTTTCTGTAGTAGATAAGTAGTAGAATGTGGAAAAGTCTTAGTTTGTATATCTAAAAAACATGTATGTGTGCAGAAGAGTAGGGAGAATGTTATATTCTTCATT